ATATATATAAATAACCATACTTGTAGGGAGTATATCCCAACTTATGGAGGTTTAAATCCCATAGCTATACCCATTAACAACTCGAAATAAGCGTTAATAATTACAGTTAACATCAGTTAACTATTCTTAACCACTACCAGTAGTACCGCACAAGGCAGTGGCTGAAGTTTCATAGATAGGAGACTATAGGAGAGGTGAGTTGCTGTGATGCATGGATGGCAGAGCGAACCCAGTGATGGATCGAAAGGTCGTTGAAGCTCTGAGTCTCTCTCTCTTCTCTAATTCTCTCTGTCACCTTCTCTCTGTGTCTCTCTATCTCTCCCTCTGTCTATCTATCTGTTTGTATATCTATCTCTCGTGTAGTGTGGTTGTATGTGGTTGTAGTTATAATTGTAATTGTAGCAGTTGTAGTGTAGTCGTAGTTGTAGTGCAGGGTAGTCTAGTGTAGTCTAGTGTAGAGTAGTGTAGAGTAGTGTAGAGTAGTGTAGCTGTAGTTGTAGTTATAGTTATGCAGTTGTGGTTATGTAGTTGTGGTTGTGGTTGTAGCTGTGGCTGTAGTTGTAGGCGTAGGTGTATGTGTACGTGTGGGTGTAATGTCGTGTCGTGTCGTGTGGTGTGGTCTAGTGTAGTGTAGTTGCAGTTGCAGTTGCACTTGCAGTTGCAGTTGTAGTTGTAGTGTAATTGTAGTTGTAATTGTAGTTTTAGCTGTAGCTGTAGTGCAGTGTAGTCTAGTGTAGTCTAGTGTAGTGTGGTGTAGTGCAGTGCAGCGCAGTGTAGTGTAGAGTTAGGCGCAGTTGTATTGAAGTGTAGTCTAGTGTGCAGTGTAGGCAGTTTTAGTTGCAGTTGCAGGTGTAGCTGTAGTCGTAGTGGTAGTTTTAGTTGTAGTGGTAATGGTAGTGGTAGTGGTAATGGTAGTGTAGTTGTAATTGTGGTGTAGTGCAGTGTAGGGTAGTGTAGTGCATGGTAGTCTAGTGCAGTGTAGTAGAGGGTAGTGTACGTAGTTTTAGTCTAGTGCAGTGTGTTGTAGTTGCAGTTGCAGTTTCAATAGTTTCAGTTGTAATTGTATTTTAATGCGGTTGCAGTTGTAGTTGTAGTGTGGCATAGTTGTAGTTATAGCTATAGCTGTAGTGCAGTGTGCAGTGCAGTGTAGTGTAGTAGTGGCAATTGCAGTTGTGGTTGCGGATTTATATAGTTGTAGTTGTAGCTGTGATTGTTGTAGTTGTAGTTGTAGTGTTGTGTAGTTGTAGATTTTGTAGTTATAGTTGTAGTTGTAGTTGCTCGAAACATGCCAGTTGAACGTCCAAAAGTGGTCCGAACATGTGGTGTTTTTATCACGTTTGCTTCGCGTGCACTTGTTCGACATCACAACTTCCAAAAGTGCTCCCAGACTGTCAGTTTTTCACATTTTTGCAGCACCACAGCCGCGTGCACTTTTTCAACCTCTCAACTACCAAAAGTGCTCCGGAGCTGATGTGAATTTACCATTTTGACTTCCAAATGTGCTTCCCGCCAAGCCGCTTGCACTTTTTCAACCTCTCAACTCTCAATTACCAAAGTTACCAAAAGGTCTCCGGAGCTGAGGTGTTTTTACCATTTTGATTCCGACTTCCAAATGTGCTTCGCGACTTTTCTACCTTTTTGCGCACTTTGATCTTGATTCTTTCTTCTGACTCTTTCTCTTCTGATTTCTTTTCTCTTCGGATTCTTTCTCTTCTCTGACTGCTCTCATCACTGTTGCTGCATCTGTTCATAAGTCGGAAGTTTGACTTCTAAACTTCCTTCGATTACCCACTACTAACCAGCATTAAGCAATAACCCCAACTGCACCCGCGAGTACATCGTGTCACACCGTGGCAGCACCTCAATGACTTCCTGCAGGGAGTTGAAACCTTTGCTCTCGCACCATGCCACTGCCTGGCTAACTCGGTGATAGCCTCATGTCAAGAGGCCAAGAGGGTTGATTCAGAAACCATGTTTGCTGTGTACAGGAAATGATGGCTGTGTAGCATTGATTTGGGATGAGGTAGTAGGCTCAAGCTTCCCTCCACCATCCCCCCAAAGAGCCTGGTTCTGGGTGTCACGCTTCATGTTGGCCACTGCAAGTGCCTGGCAAAAAAGTTGCATCAGTTGATAGTTGAGCTGTCCATCTAGAAATAAACATATCGAAGTCGAGCATCATCCACGAACCATATGAAAATGGGTGGTCTCAAAATGGACCTCTTAACATAACAAAGTCATGCCTTGAACCTAAGTGGATCCTTCTCAAACCACTGGAACATGGCATGGCGTCGCTGAAATATCCTTTATATGCAATGTAATTAAATAGCCTTCGCAACAAATCAGTGAGACGACAAGGTGCCTCCTTAAGTGCTTGAAGGAAGCCAATTCCATCCTCAGAAATGTCATGGCCCAAGCTGAGACATCTCGGACGTCCCACGTCCCGCATCTTTGGTGCTGTTAAATGTGGGTAAATGGCTAGTCTTGATGATTGATGGTGAAAAACAACCACTGTTGCTGTTGCATTTCCACTGGACTTGAAGCTCAACCAATTTTCGGCTCGACCAATTATCATCTCTCACAGCCACCTTTTTGACCACGACCGCGACTCAACTCTGCTGTCCGAAGGCTACGCAAAGGTTCAAGTCACTGCCATATGAAGTCATAAAACTTTGCCATCTGTCGACTTGGTCAATGGACAGGTCTCCTGTCTTGCCACGTCGAAGATCGTCCTTGGGACTTGGCCACTGGAACACCATGGAACACCCACATGTCTTGGCAAATAGTTGATGAAAACCTCCAAAGAAAATCCCAAGATATTCCAAGATCATTGTCTTCAACCTTTTCTCAAGTCCAGATTGCCAGTAGGTGTCACTAACTATTGGTCAACCAACCGTTGGTTGCTGACCATCAGCCAACACGTCTGTACACAACTGCGCAAAAAGTGATCGCTCCCAGTGAGACCCAATGGTCGCAGCTGGGACGCCACCGAATTCCGGTCATCCTCGAAGGTTTCTGCACCACTCTTCGACTCGCCAGAAAAATCTCTAAAGGTCTCATGACACTCAGAGGTCATGTTCCCCTTTTGTGGCACGCAAGAAGCGTGCCGACAAGGAAAATACTTGCGGCCAAAGGCAGCAAATGTCTTAACACATGCCTCCTGTCCACTATGGCAAAAACAATGAGACTAGCTAACTAGCTTGTGTGGGACGCTGAAAAACTGACATGTGAGATCTGCGTGGTGCTTCTCGAATTCAGCAACTAAGAGTCTGGCTTGTCAATTTAGCTGCTCAACTCTGCACAGTCATGTTCAGAGAAACGTGTCAAGAAAACTTGTCATAAGGGCAAACAGCTTTGCGTAGCAATTCAAAAAATGAATAAGGTATGAGACACATGGACACCTTTGAAGCCGAGTCAAGAATCCTGTTCCATCCATTTCCCTTCCATCACTGGACTTCAGACTCGTCACGGCGCCGACTATGCCGACTATGGGGGCAGGTCCAATGACCTGGTGATCTACACGTGCACTGTCTCTGCAAGTATGTCGTCGTCACCTCCTGTACATGGGGCAAGGGTGATCGGCACCAAGAAACTGGGACCTTGACTGAAATATCTACAACAAAAATATCAAGGAATCTCCAAGAATCACATATTTCATGATATTTCGTCATATTTCGTCATATCTGCTTCTCGTTGCAGCTTCGGGTCAACTGTGACTGAGGGTACCCTGGGTTCCACTCCACAGCCTGCATCCAGATCCAGTATGATGCCACCTCTGCAGGATGGTCTATGAAGTTGGTCAATGGCCATTGGAATAGCTTGGAATAGCTTGGAATAGCCTCAAATATGGCCATGTTCATTCGAAAAATGATGGGTAGCCGGGTAGCCATTGGAATTGGCAAGACCAAATGCTTCGCCACCTTGTTCTTCTGTTACTTGAAAAATATGATATCCATTGATATCCCATTAATAGTATTCCTGAGTCAATAAGTGAGTGTAACCTCAGCTACACACCACAAATCGTACTGGAGGGAACTCAATATTCGGACTTGGAATTTAGATAAACAACAACTTGATTTACTCAATAGACACGTAGGTAGGTACATTGATTTGAATTTTACAGCATGTGCAGATCGGTAACCTGGAAAATGTGTCGGCACTTAGTTGGTAGTTGGTGTGTATGCTATTGCATTCACACACATCAATATGTTTCAGTGTGCATACACATGCAGTCTAGACAGTGTATATATATATATAGAGATGTCATCTGAATGCATACACACACACAGAGTAAATGTTGCTGGATATGCAGTGCTGGCACTATGACCGTGCAATACTGCGGGAACACAAGAATCCGTACTCATAAAATCTAATAGTTCTGTCGCATTCAGAATCTAACTCTTAAGATTGATGTACCAACATGTACCAACGTATGATCCTCTTCAGGAGGACCTGCCTCCATCTTTGTTGGAGTCTTCGTGTTGCTCAAGCTCAGCGATGTCCAACATCTTGAGCAAGTTCTCCAATTTCGAGGTGAAAATTTCCTGCATCTTGGCAGCAAAATCTGATATCTTGAAGGAGTTGGAATCGAGATTCTAAGAGCCACTTTGCAGATTTGTAAAAGGCTCAGAAAACAAGTCTGTCAGAAACCCTGCTACCATATTGTCAATGGTCAAGAAATGCTTTGCACCAGAGGAGCTTGGTTTTATCCACAACTGAACAGAAGACGAAAAGGATACCATTTTTTCACTGCCCAATCAGCAAGCACTATCCTACGGTGCATCATATTTTTTCCCATGTCTTTATCCCGACAGTTTGAATTAACAAATGGAAGTCAGTACTGGGGATACAACATGATACAACTACTTCAACCACTCCGCCACTATCTCAACAAAGCCATTGAAGTCCTCAGATTCCTTCCCTACCTCAACCACTCCACATTGGTCCCACGCCACGCCTGCATGGTGCGAAGTGCCTCGGCAATGTTTCTTCTCAGATAGCCATTCATTGCTTCAAAGCCACCCGGCATCTCTGAGACCAACTTGAGGATCATCTCCTTGTCCTCTTCTGCTGAAACAAAACCAGCAAACATGTCGGATGTAATTTTAATCATCAAAAACAAAGGCTTTAACGATTTAACCGCCAATAAGGTGTAAGTTTTACGATGTGTCAAACAATCGAAAGGTGGGTTTGCCAAGCAACTTGAGGCTTCAACCAGCACCACTTTGGTTTTACTCAACAGACATGAGAGTGCAATAAACCCAGTTGTGTACTGTACTTTGATGGACCAACTAAAACGATCAAAAACGTGGCTGGTCAATTTTGCCCTGGTGACATGATTTGGGTATGGGTCAAGCTGGTCAACGCAGTGGGTAGCATAATACTAGATCGTTCAGGACCCATCAACGAAAGGAACTAAAATCTGCCACTTGGGAGGTATGGTAGGTGTGGAATTTTGACCCTCCACCCCTGCAGACTTTCAGACCTCTTTGTGATGCAAACAAAAACTGTAGCGGTAACTTCAGTTCAAAACCATGATGGCTCCTAGCACGACTAGAAGGAATGGCTGTGTCCTACAGAAAACAAATGGTATGGGTCTGGGTATGTATTAAACATCCCTTGTTCAAAGATCAACTGTGCCCTGACATTCCCATGCCCTGACCGTGTCCTTCTGCACCTTACTGGGTGCATGTTCAAGCACTCAAAAAGATCTTTTTGGGTTGACTCGGTCTACATAATCCCTTCCCCCTAATACTAAACGCCCCCCCCAAATAATAAACACCTCAGGTAGTTTTTATTATCAGAGGGGTATTTATTATTAGGGAACCCTGATAATAAATTAAAACACTTGACTAAAAAAACTATTCTTTTCGATTTCAAAATCAATTCAATTTCCTTTTATAACGCAATTAAAATATTGCCAAAAATTGGATTTCAAAGCGGACCCTATTAATAAATTTAAAACCTTAATATTTAAAAATATATATTTTTTTTCTGAATTCAAAATCAATTCAATTTCCTTTTGTAACGCAATTGAAATATTGCCACAAAAATTGGATTTCGAAGCTTCCCCCTAATATTAAATTAAAAGCCCTAATATAAAAAAATAAAATTTTCACGGACCCTAAAAATAAACACCCCGGGGTTAACTAGTTTTTATTATTAGGGGGCGAAAACCACAAATGGTAGCTTTATCTTTAAATTGTTTTCTAAAGGGGATCAATCAAAAGTCAAATTGGCCAACCTGAAATTTTCCAAAATTAGAGATGGACCCTAGTTACTGGTTTTTATTATTTGGGGGGTTTAGTAATAGGGGGAAGGGATTGTAACAAACAAAAGCATACAAATGACAAGACAGCGAATTTCCCATGGTTTTCCTATGGCTTTCCCATGGTTTTCCATACTGATTCTGATTTGTCGACGAAGGTCTCAGTGCCTCACGGACGCTGTGGCATCCTCTAAGCGCAGCTTGGCCAGGCGTTCGGCAATGCGCATCGGCAGATCGACTCCAGACTTCCCTGGCGAGCTCTGTGGTGCCCTGGCTGCCATAAACAACTACCATTTGGGGGAGAAATCCCAGCCATCAAAATGGTGACTTAGCCATGAAAAATGACTATTTGATCCGTGAAAATGCTGGTGGCATGAGGATATATGTGTATATATATATATATGATTATAATATATATATATATATATATATACATATATATAGTTATATAACTATATAACATAATGAAGATAATCTATTCACCACTATCTTAGCAGGATGTTACTTTCATATCTTTTGCAGTGGTGAAAAATTGTTTCTCGTCGAAATCTTGGCTCACGAAAGTCACGAAAGCAGTCGTTAATCGTGTTCTGACCGGGGCCTGCTTCTTGGGGAATACGTTTTTGGTATCAACTTTAGATATCATATATATCATGGAATTTCACAAGAATATATTCAAATGAATTGCCATGGGCCCCCGATGGCTCACGGAAAATTTTGCTAGCACCGTGCCAGCGCCAAAAACATATGGAATTGAGCAAAGTTAAGCGCGAAACTAGCGCTGAGGTGGGGATTTGCTTCATTTGGGTGCGGAACCGCTTCATTCGAAGAGGAAAGAAAGATGTCAGTAATGATTTTTGACCTCGAGAAGATTCAAACTGTGACCGCCCATTTTGAACAGTCAAATATGACATATGACCATCCCGAATTTACTGGTTATATCAATTAATATCTGGGTAGTTTGAAACTGCTCAATGGGATCAACGGCAGTCACGCCTTTCTGTAGAACCCCCGTGGTCGTGCACAGAGACAGCCCTTTGAAGTTCTCTCGCCTGCAAGTTCATCAATGCAAGAAAACACAGCCGAAGGATCTTCATCAAATTCCGAGCATATGATCTCAAAGTTGAGAAAACCATCAAAAAGCTGTGATTCTGTTCAGCTGTCAGGTCAGATTGGAAGCTTCACTGTCGGTCAAAGCCTGTCCTGATGATCATGGTCTGCAAGACTTCGAACAGGCACCATGCTCGAGTTAAGGGCAATGCCTGGAGAGGTGCGTGTCACCCTGACGGCCCAGGTGAGGAGCAGTCAATGTCATAGAGAAACGAAGAAAAGGCCGGGATCGAGAAAGAGGTGAGAAAGTTGATATCTTAAGTCCGTTCGCGCCTCATCATCCAAGACCATGGCGGTGCCGACCTGGTGATATGATACTCCGCTGATCGAATGTGGCTGGGAAATCCCCTTTAACTAACGGTTTTAACTGGAAAATCATCCATAAATTATAAATGGGCAATTGCCCTTCCTATGTTTTGATTACATACCGGAGGGTATCCCAAAAAGCAAAGTGCAAAGAACCAGTTTGAATGCAAAAAGGTTGGATCTCTGAAGATTTGTTCTCACGGACACAAGAAAAAAAGGAGCCTCTACTTCCTTTGACTACTGCCAAGACTGCAAAGAGAAGTTCTGAACACATCTGAACACCACTTTAATGTCCCAAAATCATTCCCTTGAGGTCACGACACAATCTTTGCCTTGATCCAACAGAAGCAAGCCATTGCACCAACCACATCAACCATGAAATTTCATGAAAATGCATCACAACATACCAAAATCATCCAAAATCCCCATGCTTTGGGGCCCCCATTCACCAAGATCCAGGTGCCCTCCCATCAGATTCTGTCGAAGCTGGGGGCCCAACTCGCCAAGGCCATAAAGAAGGATGACTGTTCCCTCAATTACCACAAGTTACGACAATGGATCAAGGTTGCTGAAGTCCAGATTACAATGATACAATGTGATACAATGGGGGATGGACATGATCAAAGTGATTTCTCACCACCTTTGTCAGGCTTGATTTCCTACCTTGTGTGCAACTGTCTGAAACACCGGAACGATGATCGTTTATTCAAAGGCGTTGTATACACCAAATCCAAGTCGATCAAACATTTGCTCCAACTTTACCGCAGCCTGTGCCTTTTGCAGCCAAGCTACCATCCACTCCCAAGCTCCTCTTCCAGTTGCCACTGGTTGTTGCCTTGGGCCGAATGGAAAATTGGACTGATCAAAAGAGGTCAACAATTGCCTCACAGCCGGACACGCGATGGAATCATCAATTGTGGGGTGCGAATAGTTTTGAGCCATGGCCGAATCCAGACCCTTTGGGAAGCTGACTGAAGCTGCAAATCCAATAGGACACATCTTGCGCGGAGTTGAACGGCCTTGGCATTTCAACAAAAGTGAAGTTTGAAGGACCAGAGTCGCAGCAGCTTTGGACGCTGAGCGCCAAGACTGGACCACAGCTTCGGAGTGCTTCTGGATGCTGGCAGCAAAATGGCTGAAGGAAGTTCCCCAGTAGTGGGACACAAACCTGTCAGCTGAAAAATCAGGAGCCACCACAAACCAACAGAATGCCTCAACCCAAGTTGAAGGATCCTGTGTCCTATATTAGTTGATGTGCTGTGCGTCTTCAAGACTTTCATCTTAGGGGTCACTACAAATACAATATAGTGAGCGTATCCCCCAAACTAGGTACCCAGGACCCAGTCGTTTCGACCCACATTGAGCCCACAGTGAGCCCAGCGGCCAACTGACAGTTTGCGGTCCAACACATTCAGCATAGGACAGGCGATGAGCTTTGGTCCTGGGCTGTCGCGACATTCCAATATTGTCCGCATGTGTTTCCAAGTTTTTTGAATATGATGGCAACTTCAGCAGGATCTAAAATCCAAAATGTATCAAAATGTATTCATATATATATACATACAACATACAGTTACGTACATATACCATATTTCTATACATAATATATATATATATAATATTATTATTATTAATTGTTATTATTATTAATTTATATAATATTATACCTGTAAATAGGCATAGACATGTTTATATACGCAAGCGTCATCCGATGACCTGAGGTGGCGACACTGGCTTGATGATGTTGGTGGCCACCTGGAGCTATATGCACATTATATCTGTGATGCACAGAGAAATACTGCTTGTCCTGAACAAGATCACCCCTTGATTTCACGGAATGGTCAGTGCAATTCCATCCCCTTTTGGCTTACTATCCCCTGAAATTGTTGGTTCCTCATAAGTCTTCACTTTTTTTCGTGGCTTGGTTGCGTGGTGCTGCATCACACCCCTCGGAAGTCGCCAAAGCACGTAGTACATGTCACGATGTCGAATACCTTGGTCAGCCAGTGATCTCTCTAACTTCCTGGCTTCTTCCATCTATGGGTAGCCTCAAGTTCCTTTTTTTAGTCAACCCATTTCCTAATTCTTGAACGAACACGTCTATCTTTCACGCAGAAAACACTCTCAAAGGCAATTTAAGAACTGGCACCCCGCAGCGGTGCAGCTCAAACCATGACCCTGTGGATCCCTGTGGCAAGTTACTTTCCTGAAACGTTGTAACCAAATCCTCCACATGCCCCGCTCGGACAGCTCGCTCAGGACCTGCCAATGGGATGGTCGGATGGTCAGCTTTGTCCGCTGCTTTCAGCATATGCCGCACCAGCCTTTTTTCCTTCTTGTCAGCTCAGGTTGTGGGTTTAAACCTCAGAACGAGTGGAAAAGCCATGTCGAAAGAATGCTAACAGCTTGCAGAACATATCCACCTTCGCTTGATGCAGACCTGTTGCCAGCAACAATACTTGATCGATCTTAATCGCGCAGGGACACAACCATTTATCATCAAAACGTGAAACATTCTGCTCATGAATATTAAAATGTTTGAGCACAACTCAGTTCATAAGCATTTCAGGGGCCAACATGGCCAATATGGCCACCTTTCTGACCCTTCCACTGTCAAGTGGCGAGCTATGTTCCTCATGTGACGTCTCAATGTCCGCTGAGTCGGGGTGATGGGCCGTAGGCTCGCAACAAAGAGGTGAAAGCCGGTGGCCAGCCTCAGGCCGTTAGAAACTCTGAAAATCAACGACAGGATCAAAGGCCGGTTGTCGCTTAGGTTGGAAAATGTTGGACATGGGTCTGAGTGTCCACAAACTTTTGGTGACTTGCATACCCCCATCCAAAATCAAATACGCTCCGCGCAAGAAGATTGAGGCAAGTAGCAGAACCGCAATCATTGAAGACAGGAAGTACACCTTGGCTGCGGTGTATTGCATGTGTTTTCCATGTCTAGCTCCAAATATCTCCAAACTGTCTTTCCCAGCTTCTCCATCTGCGTGACGTGCATCAATATGGCAGACGCTGCTTGCCATCCAAGATGCCCACTTGGCACCCTCTGGGCTGCTGATCAAGGCCAAAAACGGCAGAAGAGCCAAAAGTGCCGACAGCACCATCAAAAGGCCAATTGACACAAAGGTACCTCACTGTGATGCTATCCCACCAACAGATATTGTGGACCAAAGAAGGTGTTGAAGACCAAACACCGTTTCAAGTGCACACAAGTGCCACTTCAGATACTTCACAAGCAAAGGACACAGTTTCCCGCCTGGAACTGAAAGCATGAAGAGTGTTAAAGGGAACGGGATGCGCAGTACTCCTTTGGACGTCTCTATCGACCGGGAGGTTGGAAGACCGTCCTGCAGCGTCAAAACTTGAAGGCTCTGAACGCGTCCATGCCCCAAGTATCCCTAAGCTGCATGATTCAAGCAAGTGCCCGCTGAAAGAATGCAGCCACATGAACATACAGTACATAAACAAGAAACAAATAAGTAAAGGTGATGTTGTTCCGATTTTCTCAGATGTCTTGTCATCCCTTGTCCATAGGTGACTGTGGTGACTGCGAAAACAGCAATGAACCTACCCACTTGTCTTACATCATGCCGTCCTGACCAAGAAGGATGAGATGATGGGAGGTGACTGGTTGAATGAGATGTCCAGCTATCCTGAGAAGCGCTATTTGCTTGAGCAGAAACATTCCTTGCAAGGGGGCATTGGAAAAATTGTGCATGTTCACAACCACAAAATAGTTGTGCAAAAATCTGGACTGCATGCATTGTCTGATTGACATCTGTGCTGTGTAGCCATATCCCTTTGCCTTGACCTGACGCAACTAATTGTAGAAGACATGGTAACAAGACTTCGCGACGAGGAGTTGCTTCCATGCACTTAGTCTACGTCTGTTGTTTCTTAGCATTCATTTTCAGCATTTTTCAGCCACCCATTTCCCCTCAACCACAATTTTCCAGCTTGCAATTGAGTCACTTTTGCTTCGACTCTGTGCGCTCCATTGGTTTCTTAGCTATCAAGCACTTCGAATGTATCATTTCAACCATTGAGAATCTCCGACTTCCAAACCACCAACCACCGGTTCTTTGGTTTGCTATGCTGCTTCTAAAAATAGAAGGATCCTTTTTGCAAATGTCCTCGTGATTTAAACAATCGACAGCACAAATTTACCTGAAAGGGTGACATTGAGGCCAGCTCACCTCTTTCAACCAGTTGATTTTTTTTTGTCACTCAGGCTGTCAGCATACCAGTTACAAATACAGTAATTGAAAGGACGTGTAAGAGACATATACATAAAGGATAATATAGGCGCGTACGTCGGCAGAGTGGAACATGTCCCCTCTAGACCCCAGGTTAACCCATGCCCAAACAACACATCCAACAAATATTATATACTTGTCACCAGACAAGAGGATGAACGAAAACACTGGTTATATGCAGGGATTTTGTTTTTTTCTCTTTCAGGATTTGGGATAGTCTTAGGGCTTAGAGTTTTAGGGCTGGAGTTTCAGGGTTAGGTTTTCTTGGCACAAAAAACGTTAGTCTTACGCAGGTCTTCAGCATGTCAAAGGATATGCTGTATTCGTCACAAACCAATGTAGGGTTTGCAGCCAACATATCCTTCAAAAGTCCTTACTCACCCATCGAGCAATGCGTTTTTGCCAAGTTGCCGCCCAGAAGTACAACGCTGAAGCTTCCGCCTGCCGCACTAGAGTCACCAAGGTCACAGTTCAATGGATAAAATCATTTGCCCAAAAGTGGATTGCTTAACCAACAAAAATATATCAAAAGATGTTTTTGACCTGTGATGTTTTTGGTGTCAACGCCAGTAAGAGGCCAGACGCGTGTTGATATTTTGGCGTCTTGATATTTTTGGGGTGGTGGGGGTGGGGTGGGGTAAAAACGTTCTGTTCGACTTCTACTCCATAGCAAGTGCTCTTGCACTTCCACACATACGTCATGCTACGCTGTTGGATGTTCTCTTGCACTTCCACACATACGTCATGCTACGCTGCTGGATGTTCACTTGCACTTCCACACATACGTCATGCTATGCTGCTGGATGTTCTCTTGCGCTTCCACACATACACGCTACGCTGCTGGATGTTCTCTTGCACTTCTCTTGCAATGTCCTGAACAACCTCGGCCAACTTTTTGCTTGAAACCAAAAAAGAAACTTTTCGGCAAAACCCTCGGCGAACAAAACTGCAGTTTCGTGCTTGTGAAAAACTAGGTTTTCCACTTTTGAGGTCACCCTTCCAAGGGATTTGCACCAGAAATTTGTTCCAGAAAAATAACTAGAAGACGGATGGCCCGAGAGCGTAGAAGAGCAATTTCTTCTAGTGCTACTATCAAGACAATATATTACAAGACAATATATATATATAGGATGTATCATAGGCAAACGAGAAGAAGAGCATCAAGACAATATATTGTGAGGCAACATATAAAAGGAGTATGAAATTCAGGCTTCTACATCAGACATTTTTACACGCAGATACTTTACATCCTTTTCACACACAAACGCATTTAGACACAGACGCTTTTATACACAGACGCTTTTACACACAGACGCTTTTACACACAGGCGACTTTACACACAGACGCTTTCACATACGGACGCTTGAGAGAAGAGAAGAGAGAGATAGAGAGAAGATGTAAGATGTGAGGAAAAGAGTAGAGAGAAGAGAAGAGAGAAGAGAAGAGAGAGAAGAGGAGAGAGAAAAGAGAAGAGAGAGAAGAGAGAGAAGAGAGAGAAGAGAGAGAAGAGAGAGAAGAGAGAGAAGAGAGAGAAGAGAGAGAAGAGAGAGAAGAGAGAGAAGAGAAGAGAGAGATAGAGAGAGACAGAGAGAAAATGCAAGATGTGAAGATGTAATGAAAACGTATTATCTCAGCGTCTTTTTTTGGAAGAACCCTACGCTCAGGCACTCTTGGGAAAATTTGCAAATTACTACAGTTTCGGACATTTCCATCATCGTCCCGGGACTGTGTGATGTCATCACCGACACGGCCTCTTACAGACGTTGTTACTATGTTTTTGGGTTTTGATCCTACAAATTGGAGAAATCCATCCACCCGAAAATTTGCACAAGAACTGATCCTGGCAACGGGTTGGCCTAATCATGGATGGAATCATGCTGGATCCCCCTGCTGCCGACCCCAGATTCATACACCTCTTGTGAAATTGGGGAGGGTACCGGGCCAATCACCATCGATAATCAATCACTTTTGAGGGTGTTGGTTGGCCCATTCCGATGGGTCAGTTCACTCTGGGCCTCAAGGGCTGCAGCCTCTGTCATGATCCACCCCTCCTGGCTGCGATGACGCTGTGCCCAATGCATCAGCAAAAGTCAACTGCTGTAGCAAGTGGCGGTGGCCCAAACTGCCCTAGACCTTTGTCTCTGAACCCCCTGCTGTCGAGTCCAGCACGTCTTGACCCGTGACCTGGCCTCATTTTTGGAGCTTGGAGCGTCCAGAAACGGATGATCCGTGTTGAAAAAGACAGCTGGAACTGGTCGACCTGCTCTATGTCCAAGGTCAAAAGCCAAAAGGCTCATGGACTTTTATGGGATTCTATGGGTCAAAAACTTGGTGCCTGGGTAAACACCAAAACAGCTGACAGCAAAAAGATGTTCATCCCCCTAAAACAGTCGCATTTTCTTCTTGAGAGCCTATCCCAATATCTTTCTGCTGGTGCACAAAACTTTACATCGCTGCCTGTTGAAGAGGCGTTCAGGGTGCCACCAAGGACAAAGGTTCCAGCACTTGAGTTTGCCCCTCGGTGGCTCTTTGTCGCAGCCGTACATCACAGTCCACGCTACTTTTCAGACAACATAACAAAATGAAGAAAGGGCCAGAACAGCAGTGGACATTACTGGGCCAAAAACCATCTAAAGATTTTCAGCTCTCCTTATTACTGAGATCTGCTAAGATCTGCTGTGTGTAGCAGTGTAGCAGGGTCTGGGCATCAATTGCTGCAAGGATTCGAAACCTCAACATGGAGTCCTTCAGAAAACGCTGCACCGATCGGTGAGGCAGCCAGTGCCTGCCATGGGTTCCTTGGCGAGTTTGCTGAATGTGGAGTCTTTCCCGTTGGTGTCTTGTATCTGGTTGCTCCTTTGATAGTTTCACCATCGTAGAAGAATTATAGAAGGGGTCACGCACTGGCCAGGGGGTTTAGGCCGACGCAACAGCAAACAGAATAGATGTCAAAAGACAAGTCCTTGACAGGCTACTGGCAAACACCTCGTCAAATTATGTGGCGAATCGATGCTAAGAAAACTTTTGTGGTGAAATTATAAACTGATTGCAATTGGTGCTTGATAAATGCGTTACTTTGAGGGCCAAGGATGCATATATGGACTTTCATGAGTAGTTACCTGATGCAAGTATGAACTTTTGAGTAGCAATACGCATTAACGATTCTTTCTGAACAAAAGCAGAACGTAGAAGTTGGAAACCCACAATGGAAAAATCCCCATCAATACTGGGACGTTCACTGATTAGGCTTTGCGGGTGTTTGCGGCGAATTCTTTACCAAAACAACTGCGTCAGCTTTTAGCCATCAAAATGCATTCTGGCTTTGTAGTGATTTTCATGAAAACACATCGGTCTTGGCAAGTTCGGCGTTTGCAACTTTGCTAGGAAAATATAGTCAAACAGACATTAAACAGCAAAAAGAACCTTGTGGCTAGAGGATTCTGCTTACATGTATATTCTATACATACTGTATAGGTACAGATAATTGTATACATACATATATATACATATGTACAGTACATTTCCGCAGATATACAGACAGCCCAAGTCCCATTTCCAGAATTTCTCAAAGCATCTGATGATCACTCTGCATTTGCCATCTGTACGATCCAGCGTGATGTCTTCAATCTCCGCGTGGTAGCGCAATACATAGGGCAAAAGGATAAAGAAAAAGGTGCAACCAAAAATGATGCCTTAGATGCCCAAAGCTAGCTGACAAACTGGGAACAGTCAACATAGCCAACGCAACAGGAACAACTACTAGCCTCCCATTTGATTCTTGCGGGACATGGGCTCCTTGGTTTTTCCTCATCTGTAGCTCCTTAGCTCCCCCAGGATCCATGGCCAGTAACAGTTTTCCGGTCAAGATGCAAATGCACCCCAGAAAGGCTGCCCCTTCGGTCACACAATGCGTCCGTTCCGCATCGGACGTCATTGGCCAAAGCCAAATGAGACCGCAGTCCTGCACGCGAAATGAAATGACATGAAACGACCATCGCACACCCCAGGGAAACGATAGGAGAACAGCAGGCCGCACCTCGCAGCTAGTCAATCCAGTGGTGTTGGTCACTGCTCTAGGAGGGCACCGGACACAACCTCAGTGAGAGCAGCGTGGCCCTTGGTTGATTCGTCTTCAACTGACCTAGACTTGCCCGCAACCGAGCAACTCTTGCCAGCAACCGAATTGTAAAAGCCTGCTTTGCATGGCACGCATCTATCTGAGCCCTCAAAGTCCACCTTAGGAATTGAGTTCAGTGATGTGTTTTGCAAGTCCACGGAAGCAAAGTCTGCAAAGTTATGGATTACGGACGTCTATATATCAACCAGAATACATATGCCTGCGTCTATTAGATAGATAGATAGATAGATAGATAGATAGATAGATAGATAGATAGATAGATAGATAGATAGATAGATAGATAGATAGATGGATAGATAGATAGATAGATAGATAGATAGATAGGTAGATAGATAGATCGATCGATCGATCGATCGATAGATCGATAGATAGGTAGATAGATAGATAGATCGATCGATCGATAGATCGATAGATAGATAGATAGACAGATAGACAGATAGACAGATAGACAGATAGACAGATACATCTACCCGCAAAGAAAGTGCAGCTTGTGCAGGTGATGTTTGTGTGCGTGTGTGTGTTTCGGTGCGTCCTGTATTGCATAGGTGTATATATATATATATAACATCGCAAAGCTACACATGATTCCAGTCGCTTCCCATTCCACTCCTTATTCAAACTCTCTTCCAAAGCAGTCATCTCCTTTCACCAGAGGCTCTCCTCCGGTTTGCCTTGGATATGTCACAGAAGTGACACGTGCACAACCCCAGATCAGTATCACCATTGAGCAGTGGTTGACCTGGTCACCCCAAGTTGGAACCTGTATCCACAGCAATCACCCACACATAGTGGAACATACACACCTCCCTGGTCACCCCCCGGAAAGGTATCCCCATAGAGAGGTTGTGCACTCGCCTGCAAAGCAGGCTCCCTAACCTAGGCGGGCGACTCCACGGGAGGCCGGCTCTTAGGGTCCGGAAGGTTGGGAAAAACAAAATGATGACTCCCTTTTCGGGTCAACTCCCAACTTGAGCCAAAATGATGGCATTCATTGGATAGCTTAAAGTTGTAAAGATGTTTTATGCACACCCAAGGTGGGCCAAGCTCAATGCATGAATACACCTCAAAGCTACACACATGATTCCGGTCGCTTCGCATTCCACTCCTTTTTCAAGCTCTCTGCCAAAGCAGCCATCTCCTTTCACCAGAGGCTCTCCTCCGGTTTGCCTTGGATATGTCACAGAAATGACACGTGCACAACCCCAGGTCAGGAATCACCCAATGCACTCTCCACTCGCCCAAGGCACTACGAATAATATTTTCTCAAAAAGAAACAAAGGTGACTGCGCCGAATGGCAGATGGAAAAAGATGGTTGGAAGGCACGACGACGAATAGAATACGAGCCCATGGCGCCGCCACCATGGGTCCTCAAAACCCATACGATTAATATCGTCTGCCGGTTTGCTCTTGCTCTGCACGTGCTGCCAAAGAAATTGGGCGCGTAGGGCAAACAGGGCAAGTGGATTAAAATGACTAAGCTTTGCAAGGTCAGATTCCCGGAAGGGACTCTCACTAAGGCATGACCGCAGCAACGTTGCCCAATGACCACGCCCCATATCGATGGCGAAAAAGAATAGACCGCTCAACCAGGGTGCAGAAAACCAAAGATAGCGCCGACTGCTCGATGTGATTCACAGCTGATTGCCACTGCTGTTGCAGCTCCTCGCAGTTGGTGGCCACAAAGCCCAAGCGAAGTGGAATGCCAGTTGGCTGAAACAAGATTCGGTGTAATCTGGCAGATCTTGGAAGGTCCTGCTCAGCAACGCCAGAGCAGCGAGGAACGTCCACCTTAAAACAGGAAAAGTGGATGTTCTCGCCTGGGTTCAAGTTTCACGACGGCTTTGATCACCTCGAAGCCAACCTGAATCTCATCAGTCAAGGCAGTGCCATGGGTTCATCTTGGTGGTCCTTGATAACCATAAAGCTTCCATAAACAACACGGCCGTAGATACCTTGTTCGAGGAAACTTTCAACGCCTTACAGTTTGGAAGCAGGGCTTCTTGGGAACGTCTTGGGACTGCACACTGCATGATGGAGGCGTTCACGAGCCCAAAACGTCGCATGTCCGTGTGTCTTGATTGCATGCGAACAGCTCGTGAGTCAAGCCCAAAAATGCGCCAGTAGCTTGCACGACTTACTCCTTGTCCGAGGCGAAAGAGGATCCGATGGGCTTGTGCAGCGCATTCACCGCCAAGTGCCCGCAGCCCTGTGCGGACTGCAAGTCAATGACAGAACTAGAACCCAAACCTGTGTCACTGAAGCAATAAGGCCAACACCAAGTAGTAACAGCCGGGCCCAGTTTACCTGCCGAAGCCAAGTCAACAGCCTCCAGCTCTGCTGAAATTCCAAAGCGAAGACGCCAGGAGTAGGATCACCCTCGGGACTTAAGCTCGCTTTTAAAAAAATCCTGCCGTATCCACTTCGCAAGTGTTGGGCGCTTGGGACCCAAACTTATGTCACGGGAAGCAAACAGAGCAACACCAAGTAGGATCTCGCACCAGATCTGCTCGGTCACTGCTTGGCAGTGCCAAGATTGCACATGCTGTGATCCTGCCTGGGGAGGCCAAAGCAACGGCTTCAGCTCCAGAAGTAAGGGCATAGCATGTTCATGGCAAGTGTTGGGCACCATCAAGTGGGATCACCTCCACTTGGGCCCCAAACCTGTGTCACTGAAGCAACCTGCTGGACAGGAGATGTCCAGATCCGCTGGGGCACGGCCCCTCAGCCCCGACAATCGCGGACCTTCAAGTAGCAACACCTCTACTTGGAAATCCAGCTTACCTAAAAAGCCAAAGCAGCGTCCTCCGGACCTGCTGAAATTGAACAAACTAAGTCTCCAAAGTAGGATCGCCCCTACTTGGAAGCTTAAACTCCTTTAAAAAGTTCATGCTGCATTCGTGCAATTTGGGCAACACCAAGTAGGATCAACTCCTGCTTGGAACCCAACCTGCTTCACACAGCAGATGCCTATCCCCTTGGTCACTGCGTCGCAGTCCCGACAAGCTCTGACCATCAAGCAGCGTCCCCTCTACTTGGAAAACCGGCCTGCCTGGGGAAGCCAAAGCGACAGCTTCCAGCTCTGCCGAATTGCAAGGGCAGTCTCCAGAAGTAGGAGCGCCCCTTGCTTAAAGTAGGACCACCTTGTGCTTGGAACATAACCCGCTCAGGACAGCAGATGCCCAGAACCGCTTGGTCACTGCCCCGCAGTCCCGACAATCCCTGACCCCCAAGCAGCATCACCTCTACTTGGGTGCCTGCAGAAACCAAAGCAGGAGCTTTGCTGAAATTGCAGGGCCAGAAATAGGATCGCCCGTGCTTGGAACCTCAAAGGTGCACGCTATATGCACGGCAAGTGTTGAGCAACATCAGGGGAACACCCACCCCCGCGTGGACCCCAATCTTTGCCACTGAAGCAATTGGCGACACAAGTAGGATCCACTTGCTTGGAAGCAACCTGCTTCGCCCACATCCCCTTGGTCACTGCCTCGCAATCCCGAGAAGCTCTGACCCTCGAGTAGCTTCACCTCTACACCAGGAAAACCAGCCTACTCTGCTGAAATTGCAAAAATTAAATCTCCAGAAGTAAAATCGCACCTACTTGAAGGTTGACAACCTGCTTAAGACAGCAGAGGCCCACAGCCCTGCGGCCGCTACCTGGCAGTGCCGATGTGCAACCTGTGAACCTCAAGTAGCGTCACCTCTATTTGGAGACCCAGCTTGCTAAGGGAGGCCGAATCAACAGGTTCTCTCCAAAAGATCGAAGTAGGAGCAGCCCTTCTTGGGAACGTGGACACACAGAAATCACTTGGTAAGTTGGGCACCGTCAAGTACGATCACCTTACCTGGACCCCAAACCCCTGCCTGCTGAGGACAGCTGGGCCCCTCCCTAGGTTAGTGCCGAAATTGCGCAAGCGTGACCTCACGCAGCAACACCTTTACTTGATAACCCAGCTTGCTTGGGGAAGACAAATCAACAGCCTCCAGCTCTGCTGAAACTGCAAGAGCTAAGCCTCCAGAAGTAGGACCACCCCTACTTCGAGGCTTAAGCTCGCTTAAACAATACATGCTATTTACACTTGGCAATGTTGGGCACCATCAAATAGGGTCCACCCCTTCTTAGACCCCAAACCTATGTCACTGAGGCAATTGCCAAAGTTCTCAGGCACTGCTAGGACTACGCAATCTATGTTTGCCCAAGTAGCATTGCCCCTAATTGGAAACACGCTTTGCCTTTGCTTAAAAAGTTCAAGGTTGTGGTTGGGCAGCACCAAGTAAGAACGCCTCTTGCTTGGCTTCAGTCCGGCTCAGAACTCGGCCCGCTTGGTACGTGGAAGCGCGACCCCGCAAGTAGCAACACCTTGCTTAGAATCCCAACGAGGAGCCAAGCTGATATCCTGCGGACTTGCTGGAATTGCAAAAGCTAAGTCTCCACTCTGAAGCTTGAGCTTGCGTAAAAGGTCATGCTATGTTCACGTAGCAACTATATAGGGGGGCAATTGCTGAAACTATGCCAACGGCCACCTGCACTTGAAAACTCGGCTTCCGGGGTCGCCCCTGGGGGGGAAACACAAGTTCCAATCCTTCCAGACCACAGCCCATACCACGAATAAGGGTGCCACATCCGGTGCTTCCACTGGGCTCCCAACAGTGCTACCAGCACACGGGGTCCATCGATGATGATCCCAACCATTGCCAGGCCGTGTCCCTGGCGGAACAATGATACCTCTGCTCCATCACAGGAACTTGAAGCTGCCAAGGTGTGGTGGCATGGGTGCTGTGAGCACAGCGCCTCTAAGGTGGAAGGTAACTCTTCCAACTCAGAAGTGGTAGGGACAAAGAATGGGGATTGCAGAATCTCAACACCACGCATCCAACACTTGTAGGCTGCAATTGGATCCCCTCCGTTGGCCAGCCTCGCCACATGCTCCTTGAACTCCATGAAAGCCGCCGCATCAAGGATCTAGGCCTCAGTAGCCATGGGCACATCGATCCCAGGCAGAAGGTGGGATCCAAGGTCACCCCTGGGAACCTCACCTACTTAGCCAAGGTCGCCCCTTGGACTAAGCCCTGACTTCACCAAGGTCAGCCCTTGGAAAACAAAGAATGAATGCCTTTTTGGGTCAACTCCCAACTTGAGCCAAAATGATGGCATTCATTGGATAGCTTAAAGATGACACATGCACACCCAAAGGCTGCCAAGCTCAGTGCATGAATATATACAGTTTATTTATGTATTCTGTATTTATTTATTTACATACTGTAGTTTGCATTACATTGTACTGCATGGCACTGCACTACTGTACATTACAATAGTTACAACAGAATACATCGCAGTACATTACATGACATGACATTACAATGCATTACCATAGATACATGCGTATGTGTATGTGTGTGTGTGTCTTGTGCGCGTGTGTCCCTGTAATTGCGTACAAGTGCAGATTCAGACCTATTTGATATGGATTAGTATACAGAATAATATACACACAGGATTATACAAACATACATGCTGGAGTGTGTGAGTGTATCTTGTTTGCATGTGTTTGTGTGCATGTGTGTGTGTTTGGGTGAGAGAGCACATCTTATATACATACATGCTCACTATTAGCTTTACTTAGTTCATCTTGGTTCTCTGTTTTGTTGAAGGCATCGGGCCAGCAGGCTTGCTACACCTTCCACCCCGTGTCTCAAAATGTTTCAATGGAAGATTGCTCTGATCCGAGTGTCTGCTTCTGTGCCGGCAGGGCAGTCTTGACAGGCTGTGGCATTCTGGGGACTATAGGTTCCAAATGGACACAGCTGGCAGACTTCAGATGCCGTCTCGTTACCTTAGACATTGCATGTCGGAAAGACTGGACAGTTGTGTGCATGCCTGTACGTGACTCATCTTCGTTTTCCTTTCATGGCACACCGCTGAGCGAAACACTGCTTCGAGACATGTCAACTACCAATACAATCACGCTTCAAACCTTTAAACCTGTATAATAACCCTTTTGCCACAGAGAGCAACCAAGTGCAGTCCAGAAGTGCTAAACTTGCCCGGCTCGCAATGCAAGCATTCTGAACTCTGTGTGCTCAACATGTACTTGCCCGGAGCACACGCTTCGCAAGCAGACTGTGCTGAGGAGCCTGATACTAACGGAACCAAGTGGCGAGGGTAGTTTAGCCCCAAGTCATCAACATGGCTAAGAAAAAAAAAGTGTGCAAAGACAACAGGCACGAGAGAACGTTCGGAAAGGTGTCCAAATAAAATTCTGCTCTTCTTTCTGACAAATAAGATTAACAAACGATGCATGGGTCACTATTGTCCAGAGGTGTCACACTTTAGCGGCTTTAGCGCAAATTAACTGACTACTCATAAAGTCGGAAAATCAAGTCCTATTCAAATACTTGTTGCATCTTGTTGCTGCTGAAGCGGCTACTAAAGCGGCCCGCTGGGCAGGCATGACATTCAGAGGAGCCCGTGTCGTTGGCAAACCTTCCTGTCGACAATTCCCCCAGAAGGTGAGGTTCAATGTGACAGCGCAGCATGTCGCCTCCACTTGCCCAGTTTCATAAGCTAGGTTCCTTTTCGTTCCTTTTCATTCCTTTTCACCTGAAGCATGATCCAGTAACTTTGGATAACTATCTCAGCGATTCTCAGGGTAACTTGTTCTTATGGCCATTGCAACCATTGGATCAAAGGCCTCTAGAGCAACCAATGCATTGCAGCATGCCCTGCATGGGAGCGTATTGCCCCACAGGACACTCGGAGCATGACCTGGCAGAACTGCAGGATTCCACTGATTTCACATCAGTGTGTTTAGCTGGAAGTTCTGGGTCTAACATGGGAAGATCAAGGGCGATCTAAACATATACCGTATACCATCCTATCCCCAGATTTGTTCACTTCCTGAGCACAAATCTCTGCAGATTTCTTTCCAAGACACCAGTCCGAGCTCCAGTTGGCAGAGCTGCCCGCAGGACAGGGGTTGCAGCTCCCATTCGAGTTCCAATAGTAGGCATCAGGGCACCTGGCTGATGGTGCAGGTTCAGAGTGTGGTCCAAAGCTGCTGTCTGAAAATGTGATTCTGCCTGTTTGCAGATTGTCCATTTGCCCAAAAGACCAACGCAGCTGGTAGCAACCATGAGATCCGCATGGCAAATGAGCAAATGCGGGAGCGTTGGCAGTCAAGCGTTGTTTTCTCTGCAAAAACTACTTGTTTGCCTTAGCTTTCTGTCTGGTCATAGGGAGAAAAGCATGATCTGTCAAGTTGGTCTTGATTCTAGCATGACAGCTAGTTCGGTAAACGATGTTTCTATATAAATATGCGTACAAGTGTATGTGTATATATTTGTATATAGTGCATACGTGATCATATGTGTGAATCTAGCCATCAAGCTACCAGCATACCTGCTGTTTGCTCTGTTGCTGGCTGTTTCAAGATTTGAATACGCGGCACCGTAGATCCGGGGACCGATTTGCCAAGATCATGGGGACCCAAAAAAACCTCTTGTGATTGCCCCAGGGCCTTTTCAGCGGGAGCTCACTGCTTTTTGCAAGAGCTTTCAAGCCCACGCTGCGCGGACAGATGCTCTCTGAATGGGTCTCCCATATCCTTTGATATACTGTTTCTGGCGTCTTCTTACTGTGGCTATGGCTTGGGTCATTCTTAGTGTCATTTAGTGCCAAACCGTGGAGTTTCGGACATAAATGTTGATATCCCATGTTGCATTATTTGGAGTACAACATGTTTGAAGATGTGGCCTTTTCGCTCGCGAGTCGTAGAACCTTTGCTTCTGAAAAGGGTCCCTTCTTTGCGCAGGTTTTGGAGGGAAGATCAAGAACGGCAGGGAAGATCTTACGAAACTTCTGGAGGCTCAGGGGCCTTGATCTTGGTGCTTTCCATGTATTCATCGGGCATTCCTCTCACAGCCCCAACTTGGAGAACACAATCCAGAATTCCAGGATGCCAGAAAACTCTCTCCTCCCAGTCTGGGCAAGTGTCCATGAGGTTCAAAGTGCCGGCACCTTGAGAAGAAGCCAAATCCTTTCCCAACCGGTGCGCAGATTTGATAAGTCGAAAGCCTGGACCATAGCCCATGGCACCCAGCCGAAAGGCATAATACATGAGACGCCTGTCAAAGCTGGTTGAATTATCAAACGACTTCCGGTCTTCCTCTGGATTTATCTTCCACTTCTCAGGTTGATTCCTCAAAAAGAATTCATAGAGGCCTTCAGGGTCGGTTTCAATCACCGGTGAAATGATCTCCTCCACATTCTCGGTGAAGACGTTCTCATTCTCATAGCACTTCTCCAAGACAGATTTGAAGCTGGGCCCATCGCGGGCCAACATGGCATCCTTCAGTTGCAGGATCAACTCTTCAGCCTCCAACTCTTTGGCGGCTTTCTCTTCAAACACGCCTGGCGCGGCGCGAAACTGGAAACACCGTATCCATGTATCCATCCTTTGAGAAGAAATAAAGGCTGTTTCCGGTGTTTCCTGGCCTACGGAACATTATGGAACTCTGGAATCCCAAGGCAAATGATGGTAAATGCACAAAAGTTCCATCTCAAACAACCGCCTCGTTCTTGAACTGCACGTCCGATCAACTCGTTCATCAGGGTTTCCCCTTCAAGATCTCCTAGCTGTCTGCACATCGGCAGAAACCTGTCAGCCAGCTCCTTCGCCTTGTCGACTTTGCCTGCGAAACAGTTGGGCCAAGGGAATAAGATCTACAAACACCCAAGAAAAATGGATCCGTATGTGGTACATCTATGTTTTTATCTGCTGGCCACTTCTGATGGTGTCAAGTGGAACTGAAGCTGTGGAACATTCAATGAATGTTTAGTATGAGGACATTCCAAGGGGTGCAATATTTAGTGTCCCTGGCTCAAAGCCAAACCACCAAGACTGGGTGGGTGTGTGATTCGCACGCACCCCAATATCGCTGAGTATGTTGCCACATTAGTTTTATAGTTGTCTTGGCAAAATTTGTCGTGAAGTGACGTTGAGTCCCTGGAAGCAGGTTCTATTCTTCTCTTGTCCTGCATTCTGTCTTGCAATCATCCACCAACACGATGGACACTAGAGAATGTGATGGTTCAGTTCCTTCGCGATTGATCCATTCCTCCCAAATCTTCAAATCCACTTCCAGACTGACCTCAATAGTTTAACCCAAGATTCATCCAAAAAAATCACCAGCTCACCCTTGGATCCCGTGCCTGTCAGCATGTTCAAAACAGCCACGTGTTTCATGGCTTCCACCACTAGTGTGGAAGGCACCTCAGCTCGAAGCAAATCAAGAATCATCATTGGGTTCATCACTTTCACATCTCGCACCGGAGGTAGTAGCAGCATCAATTTAATATGTATGGTATATCTATATATATATATTATGTGTATAAGATTAATTATATATATATACATATATCCTTATATTATATTACATAAATTATTTATATATATATATATTATGTATATATATATATGTATATCATATATATTATAGCTATTATATATCGTACGTTCATTCTATATATATCATATATATTGCAAAAATGAAATATATATGATATATTATATTGCATTTATATATTGTATATATTGTATATATTGTAGATACTATATTATACATATTATATGTATTATATATATATATTTTTTGTATATATTATATATTTTATATATTTTATATATATATTATATATATTAAATATATTATATATGTTATATATATATATATTATATATATATTATATATATATTGTATATATTATATATATTATATATTATATTACATATATATATATATTATATATATGATATATTTGATATATATTATTTTATATATATTATATTATATATATATTATATTTATTATTTATATAGTATATATAAAATATAATATATATAATATATATAATATCTATATTAAAAAATATTTTTTATATATTATTATATAATTTCTATTGTATATAAAAATTATAAACTATGTATTAAATATATATTATGTGTAATATATATATATATATTACATTTATTTCTTACATTATATTACATAATATATATATATAATATTTTCTATTTTACATTTGATATCTGTTATATAGATTATATCTACTATATATATAATATATCATATGTATTATATCTATTTATTTCAATACCAATAGTACCGCACAAGGCGGTGGCGGAAGTTTCAAAAATAGGAAGCCTATAGGAGAGCTTGGTTGTTGTGAATCACGAATGGCAGAGCGAATCCACTGATGGACCGAAAGGTGGTTGGAGTTGTGGTTTTGGAAGTGGCTGCAATGGTTGCAGTGGCCACCTCTTCCTCAACTGCTTGATGTAGTGTGGTGTGGTGTAGCGCAGTTGTAGTTATAGTTGTAGTGTAGAGTAGTGGATTTGTAGTTGTAGTGTAGTGTAATTAGTATGTCTGCTGTTGTAGTTGCAGTTGCAGTTGTAGCTGTGGTGTGGTGTAATTAGTGTAGTGCAATGTAGTGTAGTGTACTGTAGTGTTGTGTACTGTGGTGTAGTATAGTGTGGTGTAGTGTAGTGTAGTGTTGTGTAAAGAAGTGTAGTTGTAGTTGTAGCTGCCGGTGTAGTTGTAGTGTAGTGTAGTGAAATTAGTGTAGTGTAGTGTGGGGTGGTTGTAGTTGTAGCTGTAGTGTTGTGTAATGTGCTGTAGCTGTAGCGCAGTTGTAGTGTAGTTGTAGTATATATATTTGTAGTGTAGTTGTAGTGTAGCTGTAGCGTAGTTGTAGCGTACCGTAGTGTACTGTAGTGTAGCGTAATTAGTGTAGTGAGTGTAGTGTAATGTAGTGTAGTTGAAGCTGAAGCTGTATTTGTAGTGGTAGTTGTAGTTGTAGTGTGGTGTAATTAGCTTAGTGTAATGTAGTGTAGTGTGCTGTGTGTTGTGTACTGTAGAGTAGTATAGTGCGGTGTAGTCTAGTGTAGTGTAGTGCAAAGTAGTGTAGTTGTAGTTGTAGTTGTCGTGTAGTGTAATTAGTGTAGCGTAGTGTGGTGTAATTGTAGCTGTAGTTGTAGTTGTAGTGTTGTGGAATGTGTCTTAGTTGTAGTTGTAGCTTTAGTTGTAGTGTACTGTAGTGTAGTGTAATTAGTGTAGTGTAATGTAGCGTAGTGTAGTCTAGTTGTAGTTGGAGGTGTAGCTGTATTTGTAGTAGCAGTTGTAGTTGTAATGTAATTAGTGTAGTGTACTGTAACTAGCGTAGTGTAGGCAATTAGTGTAGTGTAATGTAATCAGTGTAGTGTAACATAGTGTAGTATTTTGTACATGTAGTTGCATTTGTAGTTGTAGAAGTAGTGTAGTTGCAGTTGTAGTTGTGGCTGTCTATCTATCTAGCTGTCTATCTGTAAGCTTGAAAACGCAGCAATTCTGCGAGACGTGCTCAATTTTTGAAGTTGACAACATCAAAAACAAAGCAATTCTGAGACTTCCTTCAAAAATGGAAAGTTGCGTGCAGCGCTGACGGCCTCACACCAATGCGCTTTGCGATTTTCCCAGTCCATTAGTCTAAACTACTGCGCCTGCCGCGAAAAAATGATGCCAGGTCATACGAAGTGCTGCACCTGTTCACGCAAAATCATCTCAGCAAACCTGAAGATCTGATGCTTCAAAATGCAACCCCTCTCAGGAAATCAGCGCCGGACCTCCTAACAGCTCTGATGAACATGTCTCTTGTACTGCGCCTGCCACGGAAAATGCATCTTTGCAGATCCTCTTCAAATGTCCCACGCCCCCCTGCCATCGTTTGTGGAAATGCTACAAAATCCTCACGTTTTGCTCACTTTTGACAAGGTGCACAATCCCTTGTGCGTGCCACGCGAAACGGTCCGAACCCCTGGTGCTTTTAACATTTTGACTTCGAAATGTGCTTCGCGCCACAACGGCGTGCACTTTTTCGACATCTCAACTTCCAAAAGTGGTCCGGACCTGGTGTGCTTTGTACATTTTGACTTCGAAATGTGCTTCGCGCCACAACGGCGTGCACTTTTTCGACATCGCAACTTCCAACAGTGGTCCGAACATATGGTGTTTTTAACATTTTGACTTCGGAATGTGCTTCGCGCCACAACGGCGTGCACTTGTTCGACATCGCAACTTCCAAAAGTGGTCCGAACATATCGTGCTTTTAACATTTTGACTTCGGAATGTGCTTCGCGCTACAACGGCGTGCACTTTTTCGACATCTCAACTTCCAAAAGTGCTCCGAACGTGAAGTGCTTTGAGCTTTTTCACTTGCAAATGTGCTTCGCGCCACAACGGCGTGCCGCTTTTCGAAGGTCAACCCGGGCTTGAAAGACTTCCCTGCAGCGTCCACCCTTGCCTACAGCTGCTTTTGCCACGTTCCTGGCCTGCCTGTTCCCTAAGTGCCCGCTGGGCTGCTTGAAACTTTCATTGTTCTACGGTTCAGAAAGTGACGTTAGACCACTGCGGTCTGTGGCCTGGGACATTCACCAGGGCTTCAAAAACTTCCCTGCAGCTTCCTTTGCCACAACCTGGCCGCTTTCTGAAGGTCAACTGTGGCCTGTGACATTCACCAGGGCCTCAAAAACCTCCCTCAGCTGCTTTTGCCACGTTCCTGGCCTGCCTGTTGCCTACGTGCTCGCTGGGCTTGAAACTTTCCTTTTTCTACTGTTCAGAAAATGGGGTTAGAGAGTAGGGCCTGTGGCCTGGGACATTCACTAGGCCTTCAAAAACCTCCCTGCAGCTTCCACTCTTTGCCACGCCCTGGCCGCTTTCCGAAGGTCAACCCAAGGACCCAAGGCTCGAATAACCTCCCTGCAGTGTCCACCCTCGGCCACAGCTGCTTTTGCCACGTTCCTGGCCTGCCTGTTGCCTAAACTTTCATTTTTGTACGGTTCAGAAAGTGATGTGAGAGAGTGCTTTCTGTGGCCTGGGGCATTCACCCGGGCTTCAAAAACTTCCCTGCAGCTTCCATTCTTTGCCGCACCCTGGACGACAGGGTTCCGACTTTGGAAATTTACCGCTTTTTACGGTGTTTCGAGGCTTTTCCCATGTTTTGGATCTTGTGGCTCCAGATGGGTCAACATGACCCAACATAAGCCCCAAAAGACGCGGAAGCTGGCCCAACATAGCTCCCTTGTTGGGCCCACATAGCCCCAAGATGGGCCAAAATAATAGCCCCAAGATGGGGCCACATAGCCCCAAGATGGGCCAACATAGCCCCAAGATGGGCCAACATAGCTCGAAGACGGGCCAACATAGGCCCAACATAGCCGGAAGCAGCCCCCAAGATGGCTTCAAGCAACAGCAACAACAACAACAACGACGACAATGACGACAATGACGACAATGACGACAATGACGACAACGACAACAACAACAACAACAACAACGACAACGACAACGACAACGACAACGACAACCACAACCACAACCACAACAACAACAACAACAACCACAACCACAACCACAACCACAACCACAACCACAACCACAACAACAACAACAACAACCACAACCACAACCACAACCACAACCACAACCACAACCAAACCATAACCGCCGACCCTACAAACACCCCGCAATTTGCGGTGTTTTTTGGCTTTCCCATGCACCCCTTTATTCTAATATATGTGTGATCCTTTACCCTCCATTCTTCTCTATAATCTATTTATGATCCTTTACCCTCAAGTGGGCCCCTGGCCGGCTGTCGGGCGTAAGCCCTTTAATAACGTAAAAAGTAAGTAAAAATGATACTAGTAATAGTCTATAGCAGTAATAATAATAATAATAGTAATAATAATAATAGTAATAATTGCAATAATATATGAAGAATATTTATGTATGATATAGTGCGTATATATATAATTATATATATATACACATGGTAATAGATATACCATCTGCAGCGGGGGCACGGGGGATGCCTGGCCTCTGGTGAGTTCCTCAGCTGCCTCCAAGGCCCTCTCGGCTTCACTCAGCGCCTCCTTCTTTCGATCCATGCTGCGAAGGGCTGTTACCAAACAACCTTGAAAGGTGGAGCATTCAGCGCAGTGTCTCCAACAATAGCTGATCTTCCGAGTCATCTTATCAGAAAATGAATCCAGACTTTGTCTATCAAAGTTGCGAGCCAATTTAACTCATTGCTCCCCATACTCCAAGCCAATCTGAGTGATTTGGGAGTCTGGTTCCAAGGGCACAAACATGTAAAAACATTGCGAAAACATGTAAAAAATGTGAAACAGCACACCCCTGCCTCTCATGCGTGGCACGGCCCACTTGTCTCCAGATCCCAGAAAGGATAGCAGTTCCTGCTTGGCACGTTGAAGTGCTTCTTTTCGCTGCTCTTGACCAATCAATGCCTGCACCAGAATCTCCAATGCCGCTGCTGCCAGCAAGTCGCTGCTCTGCTCATGGAAGAGATTCAAAGCTTTCTCCGAGGCTTTTTTGGCTTTGAGTGGAAGTCCACGGACCAGATGTGCTTTGGATAAACTCAACAAACACAAGGCTTGGCCCACCTCATCCCCACAATCTACACAAATCACCATGGCAGCCTCAGTGGCCCTGAGGCCATCCTCGAACTTCCCCAGGGCCACGCGAGCATCGCCCACCACCCGCCAGGAATCCGCTTCGCCACGGCCCTCTTCAGCTTTGGCAAAGTGATCCACTGCTTGCAGGGCAGCATTCAGGGCCGCCTGTTGACCTACGGTGGTCCCCTGCAACATGTGCGCCTGAGCCACTAGGAGTAACACTTCTCCAGCCTCTTTATGATTCTTTTCCAATGTGACCAGCAATCCCTCGGCCTTGGCAGCGATCTCCAAAGCATCCAAGGGCTTGCCTTCGGCTAATTTCACCAAGAGTGAAGCTCTCAACATCTTCACTTCATCTAACTTGTTTCCAGACTTTCGAGCCAACTCAAGCCCTTCTTCTGCTATCTTGGCACCATCATTGATGCGCTCCTCTAGTAATGCAGCTTGCAGCAAGAAATAGTTGGCATCGGCAATTCCGGACTGATCCTCCAAGCGTCCAAAGAGGGCCTGGCCAAGGGGCAGATTTGTTATGTGTGGCTGTCTATAGCTGCATCTGCATGAAGGGCAAGTCTGAAGCCTGTGTAATGTGGACACACTTTGTGCCCTGTTTAAACCTGGTACGAGATGTACCTCTTGGTACAAGACCAGAAAGCACTCCAAAACTATTGTCATCTTAAATTCTTGCCTTGATAATCCTTGATACTTGTTCCCAACTCCAAAGGCGTAGTCACTATCCCCAGGGGTTACCGTACTGGGTTGTAACTCCTTCATCAGAATGTCCATGACCGTTGGATCACCATTGACTCACATTCCATCGTGATCATTGGAGACATCAATGGATTCCATTCATGTCCAAAATCTTCCAACCCATCCACTATGGACCTGCCTCGATTGGACAATGTTCAGCTTCAGCGTCAAATCTCATGGGTAAATCCTCCTTAGAATTCCCTGCCTTACACCAATTCTGGGACCCCCAAAAGGGAGAAGCAACTGTCAATCTCTCCATGATAATTCTTGTTGGTTGCATCCCCATATGATTGTTCTCCTCAAGACAATTCTCGGAGTATTTTTTCCGACTAAAATTGCCCAATGGTTCTGCAAATCCATCGAAAATCCTCCAAGCTTGGTTGGAATTACAGGCTTCATTCAGCCCGAAATGGATGCTTCAGTCCTTCGTTGATCGAACCATGTTAAGACCCCCAGCCCCATGAAGTGGTTGAGTTCTATTGATTTCTGATTACTGATCATTTAATCCACCAGTCGTATCCTCATCCCCAACCAATCAACCAATCAAAAATATAAATAGATATAGGAATATAATTTTCTAGATGTGTATGTGTATATATATATATATGTATATACATACGTTATTATTGTTGCTATTCTTATTATTACTACATATTATTACATATTTTTGTATATTCTTGTATAGTGTTACTATTGTTATCATTATTATTAGTCGTAGTATTATTACTACATTATTATGATTAGTATTACTATTATGATAATTATTATTGTTGATATGACTATTATAGTAATTTATCATTGTTATTAATATTACTATTATAATTATCATTATCATTATTATCATTCTTATTATATAATTACTACTATATTTCAAACTACAGGTGTATTTCTATATATATATATAATAATTATATTATAATAATAATAATGTCTATATATATAATATAATGTATGTATGTATATATATATATATACATACACATAAATTCACGATCCCATTCCCCATCGCCCCATCCCGCCTTGGCATCGCCGGCCACCCCTTCGGCTTCATAGCTCCGCTGTAGCCGCACCAAGCGCTGCGCCTCGCGGACCTTGGCCGTGGCCACCTCTGCCAGGCTTGGGCCCTTCATGGCGGGCGGTGGTTTCTTTTTGGCTTGGGAAGAACTGGGAAGAACTGATGTCTATGTTGAGTTTGTTGAGTTTCTCAGCTTTTGCGGTTTCTGATGAAAGCTGGATTTGGAGTTGATGGTAGGATTGGGTAGATGTTGGGAAGGATTCTTTGTTTCTGACGTTGAATGTTGGGTGATGCTCTGATACTCAATAGTCGCACCTTCCTTGTCATGTTCTGGGCCCATGTTGATGATAGTTTTTGAAGTGTCTGAAATTTGAACTTAAATGCCTCATGTCTGAAGAAATGCCATCCGCATCTGCGTGTGATCCTTTCATCAACTGTCCACATTTTGAACCAAATCTGCAGGATAAAAGACATCCGTGTGGCGGCTGAGGATGGACATCTCAGATGATCAAGGACGGCCTATCGGCCTATCGGAAATTCACTGAGGCTATTGCCGTTGGACTCGACCTGCTGCGAAAGGCACAGCACAAGGACGGTCCGACAGTGATCGTACACTTCGTACACGTCGTACACGCTATCTTGAGGCAAGCAGACTCTGTCAGGAATTGTTGCAGACTTGCACGTGTTCATACATGCAATCCATTGTTGAAGCATAGATTGAATATGTGCATCTCCAACTTGCGCGAAGATCATACACCTCTCAACAGTGCTTAGCTTTGAACGAAGGGATTCCGGTGCTGGACTCCTGACAAATCAGCTCCAAAAACAGGAAGTCCGTACTCTGATTTTTCACTTTAGTGGTTGTGACGTTACATCCAAGTGGGTATTATCTCCATTAAAAGGGGGGATACGGCAAAATTGTAATGAAAAGGATGATAAACTGATGCACCATGAGATTTTGGGGTTCCGAAAATTGTGACAACCAAGTTATCAAAAAAGTCCCGCTCTTCAGCCCAGCGAGTACAGCTACCAGTTGATTCCTCTCATCTTTTTATATCCGAAGTTCTAGCTAATGGTCGCTGACCTCAACCAGCTCATCATGGACGCTGCGCACTGTGCCAAGATGGCCAGTGCTCCCCAGTCCAACTATCTATGAGAGTTGCTCCACAGTTAAGTTTGAATCAATGTTCTGACAATGTTTGCTCAGATAGTAGAATATGTATTGAGGCCATGCATAGCAAGATTATTTGCACTTCATCTTTGCCACTATAGGCATCTCCCCTTGGAAAGCGCTACAGGTGATCCCGTAGCAAAAAAAAACACAGCGCAGGAAGCTGTACCCTTAAGGTACCTTTTGGAAGGAGTCCACCACGTTTCAGCACTCAGTTTGATCAGGCTTTTTGATATGATCCTTCCACGCCCAGGTACAAGCTTCCCCTGCCTGATCTTGCCTCCCCTGATGCAGAAGACATAAAAAAAAATCAGACTCTGCTCCCCCGGAGATGAAGATCAGAACCAAATGAGCCTGGCAGCTTTTCTCAAAAAAAACAAGTCCCACATCCTTGAAACGCCACCAGCTGCAGGGCTCCCAAGCTGATCAAGTTTTATGGACTCTCTTTTTGTCCCAAAATAGTTATGCATTCATTCTTGGTGGTGGATATGGTGATAAACCAAACTTGACAACTTTATCCGTGGGCTCTCGGGCCTCAAATTTGACTGATGTCCAAATGTCTCGAGATTTTAGATGGTTGCATGCCCATTTGTTGGTGGTTGAAGACTTGTTCTTGATAGCTGCATGCCAAATTTTGATAGCCAAATCACTATCTTCAATGCTTTAATCCGCGTTTTTTTAGTGGTGAATTCTCCCATTTTTGATGATGAAATCCCCGTTTCTGATGGTTCAATCCCTGCTCGACCCAAATGATCCAGGCCTATCAAATCCGGTCCAGGCTATCCACCGGCACATTCGGATGCTTCGTCAAGACTCGGCCCTCGGGCTGCAATGGGTCCTTAGCAGCTGCACCCTGGGGACCCTGGGCTATTTCATTGGGAGAGGTGCCATTTTTGTTGTCCTGAATTAAGAAAAACCAGTGTTGATTAATCTGCGATTGACAGTAAGTCAATCAAAGTCATGTTTGCTTGCTGTTGAGGAGTCGTTTTTTTATCTCGCCTCAACCGGTTGATCCGTGGTTCACGGCTGTGAATTCCCACCTTGGACGGCTGGGTCACAATGATGACGCGGTCCTTGTCGATCATTCGTGTCACCTCAGCGATGGGATCTGCTGCCCATCTCAGAAAATCTACGAAGGTGATTCTCGTCAAAGCGCAACTTATGCGTAGTACAGTAATACACGTGATATACGTTTATGTCCTTGTACTGTATACCATATAATACGTCTATATCTGTATATGCCACATATATATATATTATACGTGTATATATATAGAGATATTGATTTTGATATTGATATGCCTATATTTATTGATTTATGTATGCAACGCGTCTACTATATTATATTGTAATTATTGTATTTACTATGTTATAAATAAATGATATCAAATCAGCATATATCCAGCTTCCAACCGTCAGCTGAGCGACCACCAGCTGCACCAGATGCTGCTGCCTGAAGAGCTGTTCCTGGCAGAGAAGTGTAGAGTGTAGAACAGCGGGGTAGTGTGGGTTAACTTTAAAAAAAAAAATGTGGGTTTAGTACGTATCAAAAATACTGGTTTAAGTCAGAAAAATAGTGGTTGAACTATCAAAAATGTGTTTGTAATATCAAAAATACTATCAAAAAAAACTTGGTCTTAACTATCAAGAGAGTTGGTTGAACTATATATCAACAAATTGGTGTTAACAGTGTTAACTATGAAAAAAAATGTTTGGTTAAGTGTTGAAAAAGCAGGTGTTACTCGAAAAAAAAAATGCCTACCATCAAGAATTTGTTGTTGATCAATTTTACAATAAGTTTACCATCCAAAATGGCTCACCATCAAAAATAAAAGATGGTGTTAAACTGTTAAAGCAGCAAAAATCAAGGTCCGTAACCTCCCGTTACCCTGGTGGAATGCAATGGATCTGAATCCCTTCATTTTGTGGCCCCAATCTCGGGGGTTTTCATACTAGGGGGGTTCATATTAGGACCATTAGGACCATTAGGATGGGATTATTCTGGTAACTTCGTAGTCAGAAGTGTGGAAAGAACGTAAGTATGCAAAAGCAACCAACCCCAAACATCATGCAGTAGTAACTCCCAAAATTTCCTACAGATCAACATCTTTAGTGCGTGGCTTGGTCATCGATGTTCAAACAGCAAATGAGCTTTGTGGGCTAAGTGATGTTTGGTCGGCCTCGGTCACGAGCTCTGGTTCAACTTGCTCCATGTACCTCCGTGCTAACAGGAAAAGCGAACAGTGACAATTCTGAACCGAAGAGAGAAAGAAGTTGGCCAAATAGATAGATATTATATATATACATATATTATACAGCATACAAATAATAATAATCGTCATAAAATAATTATTATTATTATCGTAATCATAATAATAATAATATATTATAATAATAATAATAATATATAATAATAATAATACTAATAATAATAATAATAATATATAATATATAATATATAATATATAATATATAATAATAATATAATAATAATAACAATAATAATAATACTAATGTGTATACATATATATATAGTATATGTATATATACCCAGCCCAAAATCCGGAAACCCTCCTTTTTCGCAAAACTTCCTTGCTGGGTCACCAGGTAATGAGATCACCTTCTGTCACAACTTGACCAGCCGCGTCTTGCTCAGCCAAATGTCTCAGCAGCATCTGACCTCAAAACGTCGGGGGCTCCAAGGATTCTCTGTGCTGGTTCAGACATCAACGCGTGCAGAGAAGATGGTTCCGAGGCCAAGATCCGCAAGCGCAAAGTAGTGCAAAACTTGAAGCAAGCTGTGTTCCCGGCCCATGCGCATGTACTCTGGCAGGGTGATGCGAACTCGCTTCACTCGCTTGGCCTGTTCGCCCTGTGCAGAAAGAGGGAAAGAAAAACGTCAAAGGTCCCACGGTCACGACATGTTGCGAAAAATGACTAAGTCCGTGTCCGTAGGTCCCTTGGCTGTTTCAGAGCAGACACTCCCACCTTATCAAAACAATCATATGCGTGACGCGTGTTTGTTACCTATTCCCGCGTCAAGTAAGTTGGAGCTGTTCATTTATTTTTTTTTCAATATCTACATCGCCATCCACAAAGGTAAAAATGCAAAACCAAATGTCTCCGCCCAAGTTCTTGCAGCCTTCTCCCCGCCCAGGCCCCATGGCCCATAGCCTCTTCCTGCTCTTCGTCCTCGCGACGTCTTTTAGTGCTCGGCGCCAAGTCTTCCTCCCCCAAGTCAATGCTTTCGCCTTCAGGCAGCTGAAATTGATAGGATCCAACAGTTGGCACAGAAATATGAAATACTTTTCTATCACAAAATGTTGTGTGAAACCTGGTGATTTCATCTGATAATAGGTTTTCTTCAAGTTTCTTATGCTCCCCTTGAATTTGCCAGCCATCCTAGGGTCAACAAACGAAAGCTCGTTTCGAACTGCCAAGGCACGCTCTGATTGGCGGAGAGAGGAGATCTGCGCAGCGCAGTGATTCTTATATCCCAGGATCTTAGATTCTGATGATTTGGGTAATTGATGGTAATTGTCAAAGACTATTTTTGTCAAAATATGTCACAAACCTAAAATCGAGTTCCAACTCTCAAGTTTGACTCATGCCCTTTTCACTTCTGTGCTGTATTTTGTCGATTGGAGTGGAAAGACACAAAAACATGAGATAAGATTGGCCCTCCCCAAAATGCAGGTTGGTCGCTCACAATAAGAAGTTGGGATGGATAAGGACAAAGTTATAGATGTTGACCCATTCCCATATCGATACCGCTTCTGTTTCTAAGGACCACTCTTCCTCTCCCAAGAAAATCCAACCTGCAGCTCGAACGCCTCCTTGACGTGCTCCGGCCTGTATCAGTAGATCCCTTATTGATCCCAAGAGAAGATGGGAAAGCAAATCGCCATCAAAACTTGAGGCCGGGGGTGGATGACGAAAGCTAGCGGGGTAGGAGAAAGAAGGAAGGGAACAGGTGAGTTGCGGAGGGACTGTCATCATCGTGTCGCGGCATTGTTCGTCCCAATGAGGATGCAACAATGATATATGATATATGATATATAACAATGATATATATGGGGGAGGGGGCAGGGGGGGGGGCCCTTTCGCGTGAAAAATCACGTGATGTCCTTGGGGAGCCCCGGAATACTTGCTAAAGCAAGAAGACTCTAGCGAGCTGACGCTACCTTTCGTGATAATGCCAACAATTGCCAATAATGATGAAATGTAAGTGAATAACGATGATGATGATGATGATGACGACGATGACGATGACGATGACGAGGACGATGACGATGACGATGACGAGGACGATGATGATGATGATGATGATGATGACGATGACGATGACGAGGACGATGGCGAGGACGATGGCAATGATGATGATGATGATGATGATGATGATGACGATGAGGATGACGATGATGATGAGGATGACGATGATGATGATGATGATGATGATGGTGATGGTGATGGTGATGGTGATGATGATGATGATGATGACGACGATGACGAGGACGAGGACGAGGACGATGATGATGATGATGATGATGATGATGACGATGATGATGACGATGATGATGACGATGAAGAAGATGATGATGATGATGATGATGATGACGACGATGACGAGGACGAGGACGATGACGATGATGATGATGATGATGATGATGATGACGATGATGATGACGATGATGATGACGATGAAGAAGATGATGATGATGATGATGATGATGATGATGATGATGCTGGTGGTGGTGGTGGTGGTGGTGGTGGTGGTGGAGGGGGGGGGTCCCCCCCTTTCGCGTGAAAAATCACGTGATGTCCTTGAGCAGCCCCCGGAATACTTGCTAAAGCAAGAAGACTCCAGCTAGCTGACGCTAGCTTTCGTGATTATAGGATGAGGCAACACTTTTTGATCTTGTTTGAGAGTCCTATAGAGAAAACCATCGCATTTTTCATACGTATTGGAGTGTCCTGTTATGCTTAAACCAAGTCGGGCGAAGCCAGCCTTTAAAGGTGTTTTCTCTAAGTGCTTGCGAACTCGCTTGTGATGGTGAAAGCGTCCACCATTCACTTAGTTTTTGATCCAAGCACGTCCTCTTTCCACCAGCAATCCGTGTTGGATGTCCATGGATGTCTGTGGTACGTCTCCGAATATGTGACTGAACACCATCAATATCACTGCAGCGCTCTGAGGCCCTAGGGCCGCCAACGAGAATCAGGATTGTCAAATTCCACATGGTGCAGTCCCGCATAGGTCGCACCTGATGTACTTGCTGAGGTATACTCGAGCGATGGCTTCTGAAAGCCTGGCTCACGTTCATCCAAGGCATGTGTCCATTTCTTCACCCCCACGAGTCAAATTTTGGTGCTGCCTTCCATAATCTCTGTGCATATGGCCATGGGCCTGTCTGAAAATACCCCAAATTTGATGGTTGATCATCACGTTTCCTATAGCAAGACGATGAAGACAACCATTTTAGGTGAAATTAGGTGAAACCCTGTTGACTTCCCATCCAATTTCGGGTGCCTGACCAGACTTTCCAGCTGCCGAACCGTGACCCCGGCTGCACCACGGACGTACGTGCGGTCCTCACAGCAGGATGACATGGATGCTACCGCCATGGCTAAAGAAAGATGAAACACAATCAACATCATGCAGATCTTTGGATTTTTGGATGACCCCACATCTTCAATGGATTCCCAATAAAGGTTGAATGGTGATCAAGATGGATTAAGGCCAAGGGTTGTTTGGGTTCTTTGCGACGGTGGGACCACATAGGACATAGGAGAGATCAGGCTGCTGGGATATGCCCTTTACTCAACTTCTCACCAAACTTTGCTTAGAAAAATGAGTATAACATAGTATAACCATGGGCCATGAGATTTTAACCCCCCAATAAGTTGGGGCCGGCCCTATATGGTGAAAATTGGTGAAATATCTCCACTATTCTCCACTTAGTTCACTGGAACTGCCCAACTGCAGCCGTCTCCTCTCGCAGCTTCTTGTAGCATTTGATCAACAGCGCTTGCCCCTCGGCTGAGATCTTGGGCTTGAAGGTGCGCGCCAGGCGGATGTACCTCTCACCCGGGGGAACAGGATCAATTCTGGTGAGGTGAACAACTAGGAATCATCACCCAGCAGCCCAGCAAACCTCTGCAAGTCGATCTGCGACAGCGGTGGTGCTACTTCCTCATCCTCCAGGCTGAGGCAATGAACCAGGGGCCATCTATTTGACAAATAAACCAGTGCAGGGGGAAAGGGGGCCCGCGAGCGAGCGACGCTGCGACGCTCCGACGCTGCGGAAGGAGGGCGACGCTGCGACGCTGCGACGCTGCGGAAGGAGGGTGACGCTGCGACGCTGCGACGCTGTGACGCTCCGCAGGGAGGGCGACGCTGCGACGCTGCGACGCTGCGACGCTGCGACGCTGCAGGTGCAGGGCGACGCTGTGACGCTGCGACGCTGCGACGCTCCGGTTGCAGTGCGACGCTGCGACGCTGATATACAGTTGGTCTGGGGGTCGTATATATACGCCATGTGCACCTGGGAGCCTTCTTAGACTGCTTCTCTATCTTATTGTTTGCGTTTTTAATCGCACGGCATTGAGTCTGCAAAAAAATTATGTCTTATAGTTCTCCGGAATGGATAGATTAGACGCATTCGCGTGGTATCCTGCAGTTTTTTAATTGGGATAGTATTGGAAATCTTTTTCATTGTATGTGTCAAGTCAGCTTGGTTGGAGTGATCTCTTGTTCTCCCTGCGTGTTTGCGGGGATGATTCTCCATTGAAATTGACGGGAGCACTGCGGACTCTGTGCAGATCGCTTAGCAACGGCTTCTTTGGCCGCAGCCCTTGGAGAAAACTTGGCTGGAAGATGATTCGACCGACCAATTTTTTTTCTGGTCCAAACTTGGAATACCAAGGAACTTGAATCGTGTGTTACCTTCTGGTGAACTAACATTGTGATTGAAAATAACATGGTCACACTTGATGTACCTGTGAAGGATGGTACTTTTTTTCATAGCTATGTTTGTTTACCAAAGTGTAAATGAGACTTTCCTCAGTCGTGGTGATCTTTCGAATTGATCCAGATCAAAGATGTCACAGATGACTATAATTTTGCAGTGAACAACCAAGTTGATAGGGGATCTCTTATTTTCTTACAATCCATTTGTTTTGTGTGTGTGTGTATGTTTGGGAACTTGATATGTATATAGTCTTGATGCATGCCTTCACGGCTTTGTGATTCTTTCATTGACAACAGAGACCACAAGATGAGTCTGAGATTGCCAAAAATTTAGGACCTACAAAGTGGGAAAATTACAGAAACAATCTGTTGCGTAGTGATCTTCTGGTGAAAATGTAGCACGACCATCTGCAAAAAAATATTGTAAATCTACCGACAGTGTCCTACAGTACGTCCTTTTGTTTTGCTCGGACGAATCAACTATGCTTGGCCCGTGGAAGCTTTCGACCACACGATGTGATCAGTTCCAAATCTTCGTCTGTCTGCAACCTGGCGATGTCGCTAAACGGTTGCCAGTGGACCATGAATCGCATGGTTAAAGCGTTTAATTTTTCTAATGGTGATGACTGAATGAAGTTTAACATCCCCACCCTTTAAGGGGGGGGTGGGGGGGGTAAAAACTGAAATATTTCGAAAAAGGTGGGTGTCACCCCTCCCCACACACCTATAGAAATATTTCAGCTATTTGTTTTGAGCTTATATACAGTAGAATAAGACATGGAAAAGTTTAGCGCTTTCTTTTGTGCATCAACGGGCACCTGCGGATGTAGTCAGGTACGTGCAAACCGGTTGAAGCGTGCATTTTTATATAATTGGTTCTTCCCAAATTTTGCTTGAGACTTTTTTTGATATTTTTGAGGGGGGAGTTGCAAAACCATGGTATTTTACAGCTCTAGAAGCACCCCTCCCAATAAATTCCATTGCAGCAGTAGGTTTGCGTTTCTGAGTATCTTGAGAGAATAGGAGCAAGGGTTCGCGGAGGTCATGCGCGGTTTGTTTTCTTGATCTATGTATAGCCAATTTGGCATATCTAGATATATCTAAATTAAAGTCTGGCATCCGGAGGACCCCCCCCCACCCCCTTTGGAAGCCCAAAAAGTATGTAGGGAGGGTATATTTCATGTGGTCAGGTGAAATATGTCTCAGAAATTTCTTGACCTACACCCCCCCCAAATATTCCAGGGTTGAAGGGGGGGGATAGTTTAACAATTTTCTATGTGAATGTCTGTTTATCTATTTATCTATTTCTCCATCCATCCATCTTAGCAAGGATCGTAAAGATCGTGAGTGGACAAAAAACATATGCAACATTCCACTTATAATCATAAGTACTTCAAGTTTTTTGATTTTTTATACACCACACAGTAACTGAGACATCGACATAAAACACCAACTTCGCCTCAAGAATTGCATCTCTACCTCCTGCACTCCATGCGATCTGAGGAGCGTCCAAATCCTTGCGGCTTCAAGAAGTAGCGCTGAGACAACCAGGTTCTGTACCTGCAACGGTTGTGAACAATGGGTGATTTTTTACTTGAGATTTCTCGGCAAAGTATCCACAACAAATGCGGCATTTTTGGCAGACACTGGTTCTGTGACCATTTGGGGCACATGAGAGGAATGGGTTTGAAGACGTGCTTGTCTTTTTCCAGGGTCTGCCTCAAGCCCAGAATGGCCGTGCCCGGGTTCGTGGGAAACACAAGGGACCAGAATCATAGTCAACATCATGTCATGTCAATATCAATACAATATCTATTGAATTGTTTTTCTATCTCCCAAAAGGATCCAAAAGGGATATACTAAGTCTCTTGATACGGTATGTGTTGCCTCACCGGGTTGGATCACGGTCAGGTCCGCAGAGCTTGGCGGAAGACGGCCAACAGCCTGGCAATGCCATCAATAAATGTCTCTTGACCGTCATCTCTGTAGCAAAATTTCTTTCGCACGCTAGCAGACTTGCTGGGAAGAATGTTTCTGTAAAGTACCGTTGCTGCAATCCATCCTTATGATTCTTTTTTCACACAGCTTCCGGCAGCAGGTAAGCCACTAAGACTCCATGGGCAAAGTCGGTCCACTCCAGGGCATGATGCATGTGCTGGTTCAACTGCACGTGGGCTTGCATTTCGTTGTGCTGAAGGATGAACTGAACCACCTGCGCGTCAATCAGACTGGTCAACCAACATCTAGCTGGAAACCTTCCTTGTAATGGAAGTTCTAGACACAAGTTTTGTATGATATTCTGGTTAGTGTTTGCGTGCGCATGTGAGAAGGTGTGCAAACTAGTGGGCCTGGTTGGGGCAATAGTTTCGAATCAGGATGCGCAAGAAGACGGCCAGGGTGCCCATGTCCCTTGTTGTCACCACTAAGCTCGAGACGTCACCTCGTTGAAGTTCAGTACCACAACCGTGGTACACCTTGAGTAAGGTGGTGTCGTTGGTGCTTAGGAGCAAATGCGCCGCGCGCAGGGAGTTGCAGCTCTGGGTATAGTACTCGGCTCCACCGACCTCCTCATGCTTGAGTTTGTGGTGTCGGATTTCGTGCGTAGCCCCGCACTCTGCGGCTGTCTGCCTGCACACAAAATCCATGAGCTGATTGGTGAGCTGGTTCGCATGGTGCCCTGTGTATTGTCCCGCTTTGGAAATGAAATTCAGAGGCACAAACATGCTGGTATGCCCCATGTTGACCATCGGCATGGCTGGGATAAGCAAAATCTCTCCAAGTGCTTGATCTGACGGCAGTGCACTAGGAATGCCTGAGCTTGCGCGGCAGACACGGAGATTAGCAGCAGAATACATTAGAACACTGGTTGGGATTCAGATTTATAGGTGTAATTGATTTTTTCGGTGGTGGGTTAAAAAGTTTAAAGTCATTCCCTAATTCGTAGAGCATTTTTTTGGAGGGGTTGGTATAATGCATTATTCTTCATATTTGGTGGTTTTCCATTTTTTTTTTGACTATTTATTTGGGTATGGCCGTATGGCTATAAAATGTGTTTCTTTTTTTTGCCCGCCTGGAACCTCTCGTTGCGGCGGTTGCCACTGCATGTTGCTCCAGATCTGTTGCCATTGCTGCGGCTGCTGCAAGAAGGTCACAGCTGCCATGTTCCCTTGGCGATCTCTTTCAGCAGGAGTCAACTGTGTCCAAGAGATGGCGGGGACAGTCAGTTGCAAGCCTAACCTGCGGCTGAATTGTGCAAGTAGGTCTGCCTGGTTCATATCACGGCCGTCCGTCCCAAATTCTTTTTGAAATCTTTGAGTGCTTGGAAAGTCACTGTAGTGCAGCCACTCTGCAAGAACCAACAGCTCTGCTTTGCTTCGAGTGAGGCCTACCAATCTTCGCCCCTCATGGACAGAGTGGCCTTGAGGTTTGCTCTCATGTGGCCATCGTCGTTGCATGCAGAAGAAGACGACTTTGTCGAAGGAATCTCCTTGCACTTGTTCGGGTGTGGCCACTGTGAGCCGCTCTTGCCAATCTTGAGGTAAAGTCTCGCGCCACGCCTCCAGCACATCCACGCTGGCGCGATACAGCAGCACCAGTCCCACTGTAATTGCATTGTCTTGCTGCAACCAAGCCAAAGCAATAGCCGCGAGCAATCCGAAAAGCTTCTCGCTAAAGATGCATGTGATCCCAGAGCCCTGCATGGGATTCCAGATTTGTCCCCACAAGTTGAGGAGTGTCAATTGGGTTGCATGCGTGGAGCGGTGGGTGACATCATAGCCCAAACGATTCAGCAGTGCGCAGACAGAGTCTCCATAACGCCGTACAGAACACAGGTGATTCACACTGGCAAAAGCTAGCAGGAAGTCACTTGCAGGAATGTCTTCCCAATGTAAGGGTGTTTCCTGCGAGGCTCTGTTGAGCGCTTGTTCTTGTGCTGCGGACAAAGCAGCGCTTGCATTGAAGCGGATTTCCTCAGGATCTTGCCCAGGCATGCCACGGCATGCAGGACGAAACTGTTCCAGTCGTTGGTTTGTGTCACCAGCAGTCACAACCATGCGAAAATGCCCAGCCAATGCAAGGAGCTGCGGCCAAGTGGTGTTTTCGATCTCATCATGGATGAGAATTTCTAGTGCGCGGTTGCGCGCCCAGATGCTTCTGTTGCCCAACATTTTTCTAGCCATGTCCGCAGTCATCACCAGCACCTTGACCTGTTGCAGCTGTTGCATTTGGCCTTCCATTTTTTCCACAAATAGTTGCAGAAGAGGATTTGCACTCTTTCAGCGTGCAGGGGCAAAATTGCATCCAGAGGTAGTTCGGGTGCGACGACATCAATGTTGCTGTCTAAGTCACCGAGGCGGTGGAGGACCTCAGCCAGCTGTTCTTTGGAAGCTGCTTCCAAGTGTGCTTGTATGTGGACATCAGTGTCAGGATCCTCTATCTGACCAGCCAGCACGTACACTTGGTCAGGTTGCAACGCACGCCGCAGCTGCCGCAACATGGGTTCTCGGTGCTTTTTTCTGTTCGTGACATAGAATGCTAAAGCGTTGGCAGCAGCTTGAGGCGCCCAAGAGGCAAGAAGGGCTGCTAGCACAAAGCTTTTTCCACCACCAGGAGGAGACCAAATGGAATGTACGCAACCGGGCTCTTGCACAATTTGTCTCACCAGGTCTTGCTGTTCTTGGTCTAACTGTGTGGAGACCGCAGGCAGCACGCCGTGCGGGAACCAAGTTTGGAAAGGATTCCTGATGTTTTGCCTGTCCGAGCCTAGAAGTTGCTTCAGGGTATCTGGGCTCACGCCCGACTGCTCCATCATTCGCATGGCTTCACTGAAACACTTTTGTTCGAAGGCCAGCTGATGCACGCTTGCGAACACCACCATGTACAGAGTAGATCCTCTGTCAAATCTCAATGCCTGGGGAAGATTCTCTTTGTTCCCCAAATCCACTAGCATGGAGTGACCGTCAGGGCTGAAACTCAAGCAAGAAATGCGGCGGCCTGCTTGCCAGAACTGGGAAACAGTCTGTTGTGAGTTTCGAAACTCGTCCCACCACAGGTTCTGGTAATTCTGCACGAGGATTTCATTGGACAGGCTGGCGGCCCAGCACGGGCAAAAGCGTAACCCTGGCACATTTTTCAGTGTTCGAAAATCTCCCCAGATGCGAGTCCCAGCTTTTGTGCTTTGCCCCACAACGCCAACCACGTGGCTCAGGATGGGCTCCGCAAACATCTGATACAGCATGTTCTGGTGCCAGACACGCCTGCAAAGAGCGAGGACTTTGACCATGGGCTCCCGGAGGAAGGCTTGACAGGTGCTCACTTTGAATGTCACCCAAGGCAACAAAGGAGGTTCTCGCATGAATGTGCTCCAGTTCAACCTTGGTTGGCACCAGGAATGTGTCAGGGGAACTTGTTGTAGCCAGTCTCCCAGTGAATCAGCTGCGAAGAGATCTCCGCGTGCTGCGGCAGTCACCGCACCACCGCACGCAGGACACCATTGGCGCGGCGGCGCCAATTGTTTTTGATGTTTCGGGGCTGCCCCGGCATCCATTCCACATCAGCACTATTTGCTTCCAAACTGTCCAGCACGGCGTGGACGCACATGGCCAGAGCTGCTGGAAACACAACCTTGTGCTCAGTCTGAAGCAGCTGTGTCCAGGAAGCGGCTTGGGCATTCCACATGGCTTGGGGCAGCATTCTGGCAGTGTATGGGACCCAAGCCGAGCGGTGCAAACGGGCTCCCGGCCACACAGGTCTGCACATGAAGACTTCCATCCGCTGGTCTGCGGGCAGCATCCACATGGATACCGGGACGTGCCACGCAGTGCTTCGGGCGGCCATCGGAATCTCAGCGGGCCATGTGTGACGGTTCAGATCAACATCATACAGGACGCCAAACATCGCTTCCATGGCTCTGTGTTGTCTCGGCCCTATGTTGGTGGTCCTTTTGATGTCTTCGTCGCTACTTTGCAAAAAGTAATTCAGCTGCAAGTCTGGATTCCACAGGCTCCACGCCGTGTGGTTCCAAACCGGTGCTGGTCCTGTTTGTTTGTGCTGCTTGAGAAAAAATCACAGAGGGAAGGCTCTGAAGCAAAAGAGGCGTTGTCAGAATATAGGCGGCATGACAGTTACCAAACAGTAGCTCCACAGCTGGGAATCTGAAGCCTCAACGTGAAGATGTGGCAGGGCATGGCCACCGATCGTCGGGCACCTGGCAAACTGACTCTGATTGAAATGCGTCGTGAACATTGTCAAACTTTCAAGTGTTTGTTGTATTGTATCAATCTCTTAGCCACGGCAGATATTAAAGGAATGTATATATTTTCATACCTATGGTGGAGTTGACGTTGACAAAACTCATCCACTGCATCCTGTCAGCGTCGAGCGGTGATGTATCGAGTACAACGTTTAAAACCTGATGTTGTTGTCTGAGATGATTTGGAAAAATCATGCGATTTGAGACAAAACCAAAGATAGACATTGAGAGCCTGTGAACGTCACAAAGAGAATCGTTTTTTGATTCTTCTTGCAAATGCATGAGGTTTTCAGAACCATAAAACTCAGCAACACTACAACTATTGAACAACCATCAATAAATCTTCCCGAAGTCCGCAAGTTCCCCCTTTTTGAGGGGGAAGATCCTTGGGTCCGCTGATGCTATCCAGCGAAGGCACCACGGTCGCCTCCAGGTGGGGTCCAGTTACTGCTAGGCTTAGTGAAGCATCTCAATGAAGCATCCAAAAACTATGGAAAGAATGGATTCATCAATCATTTTAATCATACTCAATTCCGTTTGCTTTCAGAACTTTCGCATAAAAACAAAAAACACTATCTTTCCAAAAGTATCCAAACACCCGTTGGGCGCATCCTTTCCATGAAGAATGCACCGATGCGTCTCGGGAAAGATTGGCAACCCCTCAGCGACCAAGACGACAGTCAGCCGTAGCTGTCACACCCAAAAAGGTTCGTAACCCATCAGAGTTTCATGAAGATCAGCTCTAGTTTACTGCCGTGGACCATGACTTCATTGTTTCCCAACTGTAAGCGCGCTATCATCGCTGGTCAAGTCATGTCAATTCTCCACATTGCCAGTATTAACGCAAATGCGATGCAACTGTGTTTGACCACGCAAACTCACCGGGAATGTTTGTTCATATCTTGCCGTTGATGGAAGAATGTCGATGTCCCTCTGCTTCCAAGTTGATATTATTCATATATTGCCACGATATGATGCCCATCTTGCTGGTTGCCTTAGCTTTGGCTGACTCCTGCAAAAATCGGTCATGTGAGACTAGCAACCAAATATGGAAGCACCAGCCGGTATCCACCAAGACCCTCAGTAAGTCCAAAAAACTTGGTAAACTCATTGGTACAGGAAACGCAGGCTTCGCGCCGTGCGTTAGATGTCAACCCTTCATCCGCTGGGCAAAGAAACTTGCAACCTCAACGTGCGATGGCTCTGGCGCGGCCTGGCTGGAGGGAAGGATTGGTATGCAGATATCTGTGGATGAACATGTTTGGTAAAGATTGCTCCGCAACCAGGCAAGCACAAGGTGAAAAAGAACCAGTATTAATGCAAATGCGATGCAACTGTGTTTGACCACGCAAACTCACCGGGAATGTTTGTTCATATCTTGCCGTTGAAGGAAGAATGTCGATGTCCCTCTGCTTCCAAGTTGATATTATTCATATATTGCCACGATGTGATGCCCATCTTGCTGGTTGCCTTAGCTTTGGCTGACCCCTGCAAAAATCGGTCATGTGAGACTAGCAACCAAATATGGAAGCACCAGCCGGTATCCACCAAGACCCTCAGTAAGTCCAAAAAACTTGGTAAACTCATTGGTACAGGAAACGCAGGCTTCGCGCCGTGCGTTAGATGTCAACCCTTCATCCGCTGGGCAAAGAAACTTGCAACCTCAAGGTGCGATGGCTCTGGCGCGGCCTGGCTGGAGGGAAGATGCAGGTGCGCGAAAAGGTAGGAAAGTCGCGAAACATTGTGTTGTTTCACTGATGTGTGGCTCCGGCGGGTCGAAAAGTAGGTTCGCACAAGCGGCGGGTGCGGAGCCTGCCGGCCAGACGAGAAATGAAAAATTGCACGCTGTTGTGGTGCGAAGCACATTTCAAGTCAAAATGTTAAAATCACGATATGTTCGGGCCACTTTTGGACGTCCACATGTCGAAAAAGTGCACGCCGTTGTGGAGCGAAGCACATTTGGAAGTGAAAATGTTAAAAACACCACATGCTCGGATCACTTTAGGACGATTCGACGGCGATTCGATGTCCAAAAAATGATTTATAGCCACTTCAAATTTGATCTACCTACCAGGGATTTGTGTCTTGACTCCTGACATAGATGTTTCTTTGAAGCAAACTCGTTTTTGAATCTGACGAACCTACTTCTATAATTGGAATCCAGGGCATGTCAGAAAATAAGGGACGGAACGATGCAAACGCGTCCATGAGAAATTTGAGCGAAGCTTTTCAGCGGAAGAAGACAAAAACGATGCAAACTCCGGCAATCTGCTCATGCATCTCATGCAAAAACTATCTCTTGCTGACTCTTGCTTCAGCTCAGAAAGAATTAATTCTCAGCAGAGCAAAGTTTGGTTCTACACGCAATCTCTCCTACCCCATTCTTTTCACTTGCTGCATGAGTATCATGCCTTTTACTGCGAGGACAACAGATATGCTCCCGTCAATTTCGGGGAGGCAAGCAGCCTTTTTGCCCGCAAACCGTCTTGCCACTTTCAGCGATGATCAGGTTTCCGCCTTCCTTGGGGATCCTGCTTCAAAATTTGATTCCTTCGAAAGAATCGTCATGGCTTGTTGCCTTGATCTCAATTGCCATAAAGTTGGAGCAAAGTAAATTTTTCTGGATCCACACATGCATCACATTGGGCGGCTGAAACTTGACAGCATCCGTGAAAGCCATCTGGCCATCCTTGATGACCAAAATCTCCTCGGCCTCTGCTTCTGCACTGGGACAGGTCACGCGCACCTGGCCAGAAGATTTCTGGTGGCAAAAATTGGCTAAAAGAAAACGATTCCACATACACGGGTCCCGGCAGGCACCTTGGTGGAGACCCTGGAAGCTGTCAACCTCTTGAACCACGGTTCTTCTGAGAAGACCAGCAAGTTCTTCAAGAAAAGTCTAAAATGCTCAGTGGAAAGTTCTTCCTTTACAGTTACGAAATAAAAATACATCTGAAACAAAACATGTCATCATAAGGAGGCCTAGAAACGCATGCTTGCGGTTCTTCTTCCGATTGTCCGATGTGAGCACGATCATGTCTTCTGATTGCAGTGTAGCTTTGGTCCATGACGCACTCATCAGGTTAGCTTCCATGGCCAGCTGCTGATCTAGGTACTTTGGGGAATCTGTGAACTCGTCATAGACCTTGGAGGGGAATCTGACACGTTTGATATACATCTTGGACAGCTCCTTGAAGTCCTTCTCTGAGATCTCCTCGGAAACCATGCGTCCCAGAACGGAGCTCATGAGGCCAGAGGAAAACAAAGACGAGAACCGTGGGCTGTTTTTTTGAACAAAATGCTGGGGACACATCCATCTGGTTTGGTGGAACCAGTGAGCTGGATTGTTTACCATTTAAAAATGCAAGCAAGCTTGCCATGACCTACAGTGCAAACCTTCTGTCACCACTGAAACCTGACAATAGCAGTATCAAAATTCACAGCTCACCGCAAACAAATCTTTTTGGCCCGTCTTGTCTTCTGTGCAGATCCCGCATTTCGAAATCAGGCAGCTATTTGCTAAACATATCTTCTGTCAATGTCATGTCAGGCTCCAAACGTGCTGGAACCGCCAAAATGCCTTTCAGCATATCTCGGTGGTTTTCCAAGATGGCCAGGCATTGGGAAAACAGCCATGCAAAATTGCCATGCGAAGAAAACGCACCGCGCGCATCATCTTTCAAGCCACTGTCGATGATGGACACGGAAGCATTCAAATCCTCCAGGAGGGCCTGCTTGCGTCCAACCGTAAAATTCAAGATGTTCTGGCTGAAGCTCTGCGAGATGCGGCTGCAAAGATCGACCCCTCCATTGCTGGAATCCACATTCAACATCTCGACATGCAGCTGTGGGCGGTCTTCTCCTTCATGTTCAAGGTAGCACCTGGCAAAAGAAGTCAAAACTTGTACCTGCTTCAGTACGCGGAGCTGATACTTGCAGGTCACAAGGGGTGCAAGCTGGATGCACGACTCTTTGATCACTTCCATGTGGTGCGATCCAACATACAGCCGGTGTTCTTTCTTCACAGTGGCGAGCTTAGCTGTGAAAGCTTCGGTCATGGACATTTCCATGGTCAAGTCAAGCGTCAAACCAAAAAAGAGGAAATCGAGCCTTCGTTGCTGCGGGCAACACAAGATGGGCAATCACTGTGCTTGAGAAATCTGTGACACAAAAAGATCATAAAATTAGTCATCTTGTTGTAAAGTTGTAAACCTAGATTCAAACTTTTCAGTATCTGGAAATACCTTTTTTTTTGAGTGACGCTGGAGGTCTCTGTGGAGTGTGAATGTTTGAGTGAGCCAACTCTGCGCCAAACAATTAAAACAAAATTGACTTTTGGTGGCGAATGCGAGCCACTGCCACTGTGAAAATGGCACTGAGACATGACATGATGTCATGTGACACTCGCTCTCAGTCAGTCGCATTGACCTTTTTGAAATGAGCACAGTCAGTCAATCTCATTTTGACATGAGCACCTAAGATTAAAAAAAAGCAACACCCAAGTGATACAATTGGTTCTTTATTACATTTCCGTCCGCTCGCCGTGAATGTGGGAGCTGTCGCCCCCGCAATTGGCATCTCCCCAGGCAACTATGTGGCCATCTCGCAGGATAGCAGCGAACGCTGCTGATGTGGCATGTAGTTCCCGCACGTGAAGCAGCTGCTCTTGAACATTGGAGGCATCACCTCCATGGGAGTGACTTCCCCAAGCAACCACAGTGCCGTTTCTCAAAAATGCTGTAGAGCATGAGCCCCTTCACATGATTTAGAATGGAAACAAATTTCCTAATCCCACAAACCTCGCTACAAGCACCCTCCGCCTCTCACTAGCCATCAGTGCCAAACTCCTCGTCTTCGGAAGCTCTGAGAAACCCTCCCGCCGGAAGCTCGAACAAACGGTAGAACCAAGCCCCTGCTTCCCACCACTTCTCCAGCCAAGCCTGCAGGACCAAAGTTCCTTCCATCTCGCCCGCTCCTGCCACCAAGAAAGCATACTCTGTTGCCCACTCCTCATGTCTGGTATCATTCTGTGCCCTGGTTGGCCGCAAGGCTGCTGCACGGTCTGCTACCCGCCAAACGCCAGCATGCCAGCACAAACGACAGCATGCCAGCACAAACGAGGCTGCTGTGTCGCATTTCTCCTTGGATGTACCCAAATCGCAGGTGACACCCAACAATGATGTCGTTCCAGCACGGACAAAGCTCGCGGGCCATGCTGCATGCGACAGCCCAGCTCGCCATGAACTCGCTGAAACAACCTCTGCTTCGCCATGCACAGCTGCATCACGTGCACTGCTGCCATCGCCTGCAACGCAGTCCGTATTTGCTGGCTGAGCTCCAACAGCCTCCTGATCTCTCGCCACGTTAACAGCGGCGAAAACAAAGCTTCCGAGAATGTCTCGACGACCACAGCGCCAAAGCCACACCGCCCACGATCTTCCATGGCAGCAAAGACGTTACGCAGGCTCCACGCCGTGCGGGAGAGGCTTGCTACAAGCAGTTGGTGGAATCCTGATTGGCAAGATCAAGCTGTCACTAGCAGCAAGGCATTCTTGCAAATTCTTTCTGATTTGTTTAACAGTCTAACCACTTCAAAATTGATGTAACTACCAGGGATTTGTTCCATGAGTTGACTCCTGACATAGATGTGTCTTTGCAACAAAATTAGCTGAAGATAGCTGAAGCTAAATAAATCGAGCCAAGCCAAGTCAAGTTCAAGCAGCTCAGGCAAGGCAGAGGGAAAGCCCTTGACTCCATTACCTTGTGTTGACAAAATCACGATGAGGTTGCTCAGATACTTTCGCACCTGCCCGTCATCCTCGGCCTACATCAATCTATACACTTCCCGCTTGTCGTTTCAAGTTTCTCATCATCAGATATCCTCGGCCCAAACTCCATCTACACTGTCGTTTCAGTGAAAATGAAACGATCCCACACCAGCAACTTTTTTTGGTACATGTGTCGAAGCCTCATTCCTACAACTCAGCATGACGTAAAGTCATCACATCCATGTGTTGACATTCAAGCCGACCGTTCTATAATCTCAAAATGGTCGCAACGCCGACCCAAAGTTGCCTTGATCGTGACTGACCTTGGCTTGAAATTTGCTGACTCAGAAGCACTTGATGGGCACCAAAAGCCGCTTGCGGAGAGCCTCTGCCTCCGCATTGTCCACAATCTCCCGGGCAGAGCGCTTGACGTACACTACTGGCTTGGGGCCTTTGGCTTTGGACTTGGCTTTGGACTTGGCCTCAGCACCAGAGACAGGCGGCGAGGCGGCAGCTTCAGGGTCCATTTCAACATCCAAAAGGCCCACCTTTTGCAAGTCAGCCAAGGCGGCTTTGATCTGATCTGCGGTGACGCGATTCTTCTTGAACCAATTCTGGTTGCGGAGCCACAGGCGGAGCTGGTCGCTGGCAAGCTTCGCTCCTACCAAAGCTTTCTCATGCACCAGAATCTCATGCTTCAGCCGATCCTCTACTGACAGATCAAGCTTGAGCCGACTCAACTCATCTCCATCATCAGCTCTTTCCATGGCAGCAGTAAGCTCCCTACTGGAAGCGTTGGACGTGCTGTTTGTCATTTGCCGGAACCACTTGTAGAAGCTGATGTGCACGTGCAGCTGCCGGAGCCACATGTTCACTGCCAAGATGAACTCGTAGACCTTTGGCTGGGTCCTGACTGCCTCTGCCGCGGCCATGTTCGAGCTCCCAAACTGCGCCACAGAGAACTGGCAAATGCGCATGTTCGCATGGGCTAGGCGCAAGACATCGGTGGACCAGAATCGGACTTTCCTTTGGGCATCCTTGGTGAGAAAGATGCCTTTCTCTTGCACGAACTCCTCCACTGCCTTCTTGATACTTCTGTAGCACGTCAAAGCATAGCCATCCAGGTAGTGATGCCCTTCCTTGGTCCAAGCATTCTTATACATCCAAGCATGCAGCTGTGCAAAGAAACTCTTGGCAGTGCCTGTGTGAACTTCGGATGACTCTGGGGCATGCTCTGGCGCAAACACCAAGTTGAACCGCTTGTTGAAGCCATGGGTCACTGGCTGCGCAATGAACTCAAGAATCTCAGTTTGGCCTGCCACCTTGTGGAGAAACAGGTAAGGGTGATGAGTGGAGCCGAGGTGTACTTGACCTTTCCCCGTGGCTTGATCATCAGCTTCACTGAGCACGTAGGTGTTCATTTTGGGCTTGCTCAAGTAGTGGATGCCACCCGACCCTTTCTCCGACCAAGGGGTCTCATAGACATTGGACGCTTCATCGGCAATCACGGCAGCTCTGTTGTAGTTGTAAATGGCTGCTCTAATGCCTGCAACCGTGGCATCCGCGAGGATGCACTCTCGCTTTGCCATTGTCTGCGGGGCTCCGGATGCATCCAACATGAAGTCGGTCGTCATGGCTATCAAGCATGTCTTCCTGGAGGAAGGCGCCCCGCCCACCAACACCGGAATGTTGGGCGCCTCTGTGTGTTCTCCTTCTTGGTGACCAACACGTCGGCCATGGTGCTCTAAGAAAGCGATGTTGGCGTAAAAACACCAAGCCACTGCTTCATCATGCAGCCCATTGCCTCTGCTGAGGCTCTTGACAGCCTCCATGAACAGCACCGGCAGACAACGCCGCAGATCAAAGGATATGTCACTGCTGACAACTCTGTGGCCACGCTCTTCGTCTGCTGCTTTGTGCAAAGCCTTCTTTACAGTCGAAGCTATGTCTCGGGCCGTGCCCATCCCTGCAGCAAAGCCTGGGCAGAAAAGACACTGACGGATCTCTTCTGCATTAGTAGCCGACTTCAAGGCATCCATGGAGCGCTGCACGTAGTCAGAGTGCTGGTTGTTGGCAAGCCATTTTTCAGATGCCGCAGCAGAATCTTGGAAGCGTAGGCCGAAGTGCGAGTCTTCCATCTTAGGCACGCCAGGAGAGCGCTGCGAAGAGCTTGGATCGGGCGACAGCTCATGGCGACCAGAGGCGGGAGGCGGTGTCCTTGGTGTCTGATCTCGAGGAGTCTCACTCATTGGAATTTTGAATGTTCGCAGGCTTCGGGCCGTGCGATCAGTGCCGCTGATCGTAGCACTGGAAACCAAAGCAAAATCGCTGCGGGATGCATGCTGCTTTTTCACCTGCATGTGAACATGCTACAGTAACACGACCCATGGCTGTCGGGCACTTGGTGTTTTTAATACTGTCTACTGTTTCCAATTCTATTTCTGTAAGCACCAGTTCACGAGTAACTTCAGTCCGGCGAACAAAAGCTGAAAAGAAAACAAGTGTTTGGCATTTGTCTTGAAGGCTGACAGCTGCAAGACTTTTTGCATCCCCGCAAGACAGCCAGCTGGTAGCTACGAGCCACAGGTGTGACCGCAAATCCAAGAAAGAAGTGGCGGGTCGGCTGCATCTGGCAGGCAAAAAGGCTCCACCTCAAAGATAGCGACTTGCCATCTTACGCTGACGTGCAGCACCAAAAGACAGACGCGGAAGCGAGCGAATCTTTCTGCATCCTGGGCGTTTCTGAACTGCACTGGGAAAGCTCCGCGCCAGGGCTCCTCTCTCGGCCCGGCGGGACGGTAGCCACAGCAGTTGCATAGCAAAACAAAAAACATTGCACAGGAACCGACACACCGCAACACATATACACACACACATGTAGCACATGCGTTCGAAACAGTAAGCCGTTCCCATATGCATCCAAGCGATGAACATTCAGTACGCCAATATACTTCATGATCACACATGCTATTTAAGGACTGTTACGGGCAAAGTTGAAAACATCAGCATCTCAAAGATTCAGGGCAAGATTCAAATTAAGATTGAAGCATCAAGTCAAGTGAAAGATTCACATCCAAACAAGTACACGCAAGAAACAGCTGCCCGCCCGGCTTCATTGCTTTCAAACGCGAGACTTGAAATCACACAGGTTGCGACGTGCCCGACGCGCCGGCCATGATGCTCCAGGAAAGCAATGTTGGAGTAGAAGCACCAAGCTACAGCTTCGTCATGCAAGCCATTGGCCTCACTCAAACTTTTGACGGCTTCCATAGAGGGCACGGGCAAGCAGCGCCTGAGGTCAAATGAGATGTCCGCGCTGACAGCTCGATGGCTGCGTTCATCTTCGGTCAAGGTTTGCAACCTCTCCTTGACTGTCTGAGCTATGTCCTTTCCTGTGCCCATCCCAAAAGCGAACTTGTTGGCAAAGAGTTCCTTTCGGAGAGCTTCTGCGTCCGTTGCGGTCTGCAATCATGACCTTGTCAACCTGGTCGGTGTGCGGGTTCTCTGCCAACCACTTTGCAGTTGCAGCCGCTGAATCCTGGAATTAAGCCAAAGTGAACATCTTCCATCTTGGGTAGCCCGGGAGAACGTTGGGAAGAGGACAGCTCTTGCTCTTGCATCTCCAATTTCCTTTGGGTTGCAGGTGGTGTGCAACATTCGGACTTCTCCTCGGCAGGCCTCGGGCTTCCGCTCATGGATGCAGATTGCTCGCAGGCTCAACGCTGTGCGACGAGGGCGCTGGAGGGCCACCACTTGGACTTCTCGCTAAAAACGGCTGCAGAAGCACCATGCATATATGTAAATGTATCCCCTGGGCGCACATCCAAAAAAGGAAATGTCAAAGCGCAGATCGAAAAGATCCTTGAACGAGGCTTGTCAGAATTGTCAGCATTAGTCTAGGCACTTCCAGCACTCGTGTCCTTTTAGCCGCTCTCTTTTCGTCAGGTGGAGATCCTATAGGCGCTGCAGCAGCACGATTGTGCTCAGCCGCAACGCCAACGCAAAAGTGGCAGAGCATGGGCATCAGGCCAAAATGGCTCCACTTCGTAGATTGCGAGCTCCCATTTGCAACTGACGTGCAGAACTAAGAAGTACGTCATGTTGCGAGCAAACGTCTCCGCCATCTCCGAAGTACGGAACTGCACACGGAAGGTTTGCGATCTCCGCGCCTCAGTGGCTGTAGCGGGTTCGGAGTGGACATTGCTCAGCAAGACCAAAAACATGGCGCCAAGAGGGCAGCAAAGTAGATTAAGCTAGAGCCGAAACCAGGAAGGCGACTAGAAATACACCTGGGGCAGCTCACAAAGACAAATCTCGACCTTGACAAAAATTTGAATCCTAAGTAGTTGTGACTAAGATGCCTTGAGCCTTAGCACACAATGGATATCTTGCAACGAGCATGCTTGTGCGAAATTGTTTTGCTCGCAACAAACCGTCGTGGGAAGATGGCTGCGGAAGCACTATGCAAGTCGTCAAACGCATATATGCAAATGTATCCCCTTCATTCAGCAAAATAGAAAATTTTGAACGAATGTATCCCTAGTGCAACAGAAGCTGGGCAGCGTTGCTTTTTTTTAAGGCTGCGTTGGTCTTATTCCATGCCTCACGCGTCGCACTCCGCCCTTCTAGTAATCACATTCGCCTTTGCCACACGGCTCCGCAATTTTTGCACAGCTTCAGGCGTCTGGAGCCTGACTTTGGTGAAACCTATATTCCGTGAAATCTTGCATTGCAACAAGTCGCTGAGCTGTCGCCAAACCAAATTCAAAGGCCTCAAATCATAAACAAGCTGAACCTCGACCATGTCAAACTCAACCCCCTCTGCCATGTACTCAGAAAAGGGGGCACGCAAGTGTTCAGGCAAGCGCTCAGCACAGGCTTCGATTTCTCTTGCCTTCATTTTTCGAGCGGCTGGCCCAGACAGAACTGCAACTCCGGCCACTTGCTCTGAACCTGCAGCTCCAAACAGCACCCAATCTCCAGCTTTCGCAAACTTGAAAACGTTGCCGCCTTTTTTCTGCTTGCACCTCTGCACTTCAAACATCTTCTCACCAGAAGCAAGTGCTTCACACCAGACTGGGCTCAGAATGCGGCAATACACTTCCAAACTGGCGAAAGCATCCTCAGAAGCGGCGTCTGTTTCTGCCACAACAGGCACTTCACCACCATGTCGGACGCAAGCTGCCCACTCTTCCAGCTCTCTAGCCAAAGAGTCACATCCTCCGAACAGCACCGCCTCAGCCAATTTCATGATGCCTTCAACTTGTTCGTGCACGAGCGTGTCCTCCCGTGCCCAACCGGGCAAGCCTCGTTTGTGAAAGTGGCGATAATTGAAACGCAGGTAAGACAAGTTGGCCAAAAAGGTCCACCAAGCCTCGCTGACGTTAGTGGCCTCTGCGGCGATAAAGCTACCAATGTTCGCCCAGAGGCGCTCCACAGGCACTGTTCCAGAATGAGCTTCAATCCCTGCAGCATGCAGCGCCAAAGCTGCCTCCCGCCACCGCATGAATCCCTGCAATCGGATAGGCGCGCGCATGCGAGCGTAGTGAGCGGCAACCTTTGCTGTCCACACCTTGGCTCTTCCCTTCACTTCTTCTGATTGCTTGTTTCCTCGCCGTATTCCATGCCTGCGGCGAGATTGTCGCCGTGGCCTTTGGTACCAAGCCTCCATCCGCCGAACTTCGTCCACGAAATCGTCCTTGCCCAAGAAGTTGTATAGCTCAGCATGCCTGGCATGCAAAGAAGCCCCCAACAGCCTGCCTATACGAACGAGGACGCCTTGTGGAGGAGCGGCACTGAAGAGAGTATGCCAGATGATATGTTGCTGCACGTTCTCAGAAGCCATGAGTTCACGCAACTCGGCTACTTCGGTTGGAGAAGCCGCCACGGCATCAGCCACAGATGCTGCCGACTCTTTGACACACCTTTGCAATAAGAGTTGAGCACTGTTTGAAATGTCGACGTCATCGGCTATCGAATGTGACGATGACCCACTAGGAAAGGCAGGAGCATTAAGCCGCAGGATCAACCTCTCATGATCTGCCAGAAATGAACGGCAATCATTGGCAGCTGGAGAAGCCAATCGACGCAAAGCGAAGAGGTCATGCATCGGTTCGCCTGTGACACGAAGCAGCCACTTTGCCTGACTTGCCTCCTCAGAAATCACACCTACCTGGCAGAAAGCATCTTTGCAACGCGTAGGTGCTTGGCCCTCCACGCGCAAGTCTTTCCAAACTGAGCCATATAGTTTGCAGAGTTTTTGCCGATGCTTGTGGTAAGAATCCGTAGCATGGAAGCACGGAATAGAATCTTCCAAACTGAATCCGGCCCGTAGTCGCGCCTGCTTGAGCTTCCGGAGCAACGGCGCCAAGGACGCTTCAATGCAATGCCAAGACTCACTTTGGGCAAACGATACTGGCACCAACAAGCTACCATCCACCCCGCACCAAGCGAAAGCAACTGTGTAGGGATGACTTTTCTGTCCTTCTACATAGCGCACCACTGCCTTTGCCAGGTCATAGTTGCCATCACCACGAATCAGTTGACCATTGTACACGAACTGACGCTCCTGCATTAGATCCACCCTCTTCTGCACAAAGTCTGCAAAGCAGCTCAACAAGATATCTTTGATAGCGTGGTGGTCTGGAACACACATCAATATCCAACGAAGCTGAGACACATTAGTGAACGAGGGGGTCATTTGCGCAGCATGCAATGTGGAAGCGGAGTACAAATCTAGCAACTTCCTTCGCACCTCATGCAGGTTCATGTCACGGTACAGCATCATCAGCAACCAAAATAAAAGTAGAGGAGAGGCAGACACCTTGCCATGCCTAGTCTGAGTAAAACGAAGAGGTGTACCAAGACCCAAACGCAGGCATTCATCATCCACATCTGCTGCTGTCACCGGCCAAGTTTCAGAATCGCAGCTGCGACACCGCCACGGCGTCATGTCCCAAATCTGCGGGCAAGGAACATCTAAGCAGAATTCAAAACGCGAACGATCCTGACGTGGTTGCACTCGGTGGTATGGAAACTGGCGCTCATGCTCTACAGCTGCTTGGGGCTTCACGGCGCGCAAACTCAACGGCTCTGGATTGGCCGACATCCAAGGAAGGGGCCGATGCTGTAGAGCTTCCGCAGCTTCGTCGGCCATAGCACGTGCTCTGTGAACGGACTGCGCAGGGTCGACCACCGTCACCGCCTCATCCCCACAGCACTGCCTCAGAGTCACTCGGCCACGTGCTACGGATGTAACTTCATACTGGAGGCGAAGGTTAGACAATTCAGTGGACTTGCAGGTCACCACCCCTCCAAGGATCCACTCCCCGCTGGCCAGTTGACGAATGTTAGCCACACCGTTCTTCTGGCAACCTCGAGACATGAAAGAGTCGAGGACAAACACAGGTTGGCCTTGATACATGGCGGTCAGACCACGGACGGCCGGCAAAGACTGCGTGGGCCCCTTGTCAACAGGGCTCAGCAAAGATGTATGAAGCAAGAGCATGTAGTTCTCACAAGAGCGACCCGTCACCAGCCTTTGCGCTACTGCACTGGTTTCGATACAGTCCGGTCGAGGAGCGCAGCTAGAGCGGACCCTCTTCTTTGTTGGAGGGGCGGCAGTTGACGGCGCTGCTGCTTTCCTCTTTCTGCTGCGGCTTTTTGCTGCCACGCGAGCATTGGCCCGTTGGATTGCTGCCGAATAAGCTGATGGAACATCTCCTTCTTTCCGAGCATTAGCTTGTTGAATTGCTGCCGAATCAGCTGATGGAACATCTCCTGCTACACGAGCATGAGCTTGTTGAATTGCTGCCGAATCAGCTGATGGAACATCTCCTGCAGCACGAGCACTAGGTCGTTGGATTGCTGCCGAAGAAGCTGATGGAACATCTAAAGTCCTCCTACTCAGAGCTCCCCCTGGCAAGCGCTTTGGCCATGGCTGCATGCCAGAAGCACGCAGTGCTTAAAGGCAAATCGTCCTGAAATCTAACGAACCACCCCTGTCATTGGAATCATTCGAGGTAAAAATGAACTGCAAGTCTGGTAAAATCTAATGCTGGTCGACCCTGGATTGTAATGGCAAGGCCGATAGAAAATAATCCCGTCAATCCCAAAACATTTTCTGATGCATGTCTCGCAGGCTCTGTGCCGTGCGCTTGACAAATGCGACTTACTTAGACTTGTGGCTAGAAACGGCCGCGCAACACCGCATCAATCACTTTTCCAACTGTTTCAAAATCAAAATGCATCCACTAAAAAAAGGAGCAGAACTTGCCAGCGGAAGAAGACAGACACGATGCACAACGCGTCAATCCGCCCATGCACAGATTGAAATTCTCTCACCGGAAAATCTTCTCCCCAAGCATTCGACCAAACAAATCTCTTGCTTGAAAAAAAACAGCAGACAAAAGGCATCAAAAGGTCAATTCTACAGGCAATCTCTGCTACTGCTGGCCCATTCTTTTCACTTCCTGCATGAGTATCACGCCATTCACTGCAAAGTCGAAAGCAATGCTCCCGTCAATTTCAATGGATAATCAGTCCCGCAAACAAGGAGGGAGAACAAGAGATCACAAAAAGATTTCCAATAGTATCGCAATTGAAGCAAATCACCTCTGCAGGATACAACACGAATGCGTCTTATCTGTCCATTCCGGAGAACCTGTAAGGAATAGAACTTCCGCAGACTCAATGCCATGCGGTTAGCCACGAAAACTGATTAATCTTAAAGGCGCTCGAACCAAAAAGCGGCTCAGCATACTTGAATATACAAGATAGAGGCGCAGTCGAACAAAAAATATCGAGGGTGACTCCCAGGTGCACATGGCTTAAGCAAGCAGAGATGATCATGGAAGGAAACACCAATAGATCTAAAAACACATTCAATTGAAACAATCCTATTGGAATTCTTGCGGTTGAAACCTCTCTCTTTTGTTTGACTCCTGTCTTTCGTTCGGATTCCTGCTTTCGCTTCTCTACTGCTCTTTTGTTGGGGGCCTCTCTTCCGTTAAAGTCCTGTCTTGTTCGTTCAACTCCCCTCTCTTTCGCTTAAAGCCTCACTCTTTTTCGTCGGACTCGTGACTTTCGTTCGTCGTTTCTCGACTGCTCTTTTGTTGGAGGCCTCTCTTTGGTTAAAGTCCTGTCTTGTTCGTTCAACTCCCCTCTCTTTCGCTTAAAACCTCACTCTTTTTCGTTGGGCTCCTGACTTTCATTCGGATTCCTTCTTTCATTTGTCTACTGCTCTTTTGTTGGAGGCCTCTCTTTCGTTAAAGTCCTGTCTTGTTCGTTCAACTCCCCTCTCTTTCGCTGGGCTCCTGACTTTCGTTCGGATTCCTTCTTTCATTTGTCTACTGCTCTTTTGTTGGAGGCCTCTCTTTGGTTAAAGTCCTGTCTTGTTCGTTCAACTCCCCTCTCTTTCGTTGGGCTCCTGACTTTCGTTCGGATTCCTTCTTTCATTTCTCTAATGCTCTTTCGTCGGCGGCCTCTCTTTCGTTAAAGTCCTGTCTTGTTCGTTCAACTCCTCACTCTTTTTCCTTGGACTCCTGACTTCTCGGCTTCTCGGCTTCTCGGCGCTTCTCGGCTTCTCGGCTTCTCGGCTTCGCGGCGCTTCTCGGCTTCTCGGCTTCTCGGCTTCTCGGCTTCGCGGCGCTTCTCGGCTTCTCGGCTTCTCGGCTTCTCGGCTTCTCGGCTTCGCGGCGCTTCTCGGCTTCTCGGCTTCTCGGCTTCGCGGCGCTTCTCGGCTTCTCGGCTTCTCGGCTTCGCGGCGCTTCTCAGCTTCTCGGCTTCGCGGCGCTTCTCGGCTTCTCGGCTTCTCGGCTTCTCGGCTTCTCGGCTTCGCGGCGCTTCTCGGCTTCGCGGCTTCGCGGCGCTTCTCGGCTTCTCGGCTTCTCGGCTTCTCGGCTTCGCGGCGCTTCTCGGCTTCTCGGCTTCTCGGCTTCTCGGCGCCGCCCTGTTGGCGTGGGCCCCGTTTACCCCTGCATTGAAATAAACATCCTGACCGTATCTAACCATGCAGCAGAAACCTTGAAAACCCATGAAAACCCTTCATCCATATCGTGACTCACTCCCAAAACAACGACTATAGTCACAATTTGGTTGAGACAGCACACCTACTCAGGAAGATCAAGTCTGTCAGTGTCTGCGAAGGTGTCCTTGCGCTGGTGCGACGCCACAATATGCTTGGCAACTGTGAGGTCCTGGGTTTCATCTCGGATGTCCTGCCAGGGAAGCTAATGTACCCATCACATCCCATCACTCGATCATCTTGTTAACAAATGTTAACAATACGCCAAGCATCATGCCAAAAAGATAACCAGGGATAAGGATGACACTATACTCCCATAATACTCACATGGAATCAAACAATTGCTGCAATTGCTATACAAAATGTGGACAATCCTCCAGGCCCATTCTTTGGGGTTCCATGTTGGACATTGATCATGACCTCATGGCCTGCATGACGAAGAACAAGTCGAATCGCGACATGATCGGAGGGCTCAGATCGCAGTTCTTATGCAGCGGCAAGGTCGCCCTAGGCACCACTAATTTCGCACAGGAGATCTGCTGACGAACTGGCACCAGGCGACTGATTGGCTTTCGACCAAGGCTCTGATAGTAGGTGTTCTTTGGCAACACGGATGCCAAAATGGAACAACGTGCCTTAAGAGACGCTTGAAACTTGAAGCTATCACTGTGACATATGAGTACCAAAGATTTTTACCACAGGCCGCTAGAGTCTGTTGAACGTGTGTTGCCGTCCCCAATTTTAGCGTTTGCTATGTATCCTGTGTCCAGTCCTCATGTTTATGGATTAACATCCAGCCATCCCTTGTATGTTGCATCAATGAAATGCTTGTAAGAGGGGTGACTGTGCTAATTATCCCCTTGGCAATTGGACCAAATTCCGATCCTTCGTTCAGAGGGTTGGCGTGCCAACTTTTAGCCTCAAACGCGGGGCTATAGAATCATTGATACAAGCTGCGTTCAAGGTAGCTTGAATGCCAGCCTGCAGTGGTGAGTTTTTGCCAATTGCCATAGCAGATGCAGGAACTGCACTGAGCAAAAAGGACGTGCAAATTCCGGGCCTTTGAGAGAGTAATCGTCTGCTGCTCCATTGCTTCGTGGATAGCAACCATGTCCTCTAAAGCCAACAGATTGATTGGTCAAAAAAATGTGTGTATTTGCGTCCTAATTGGGGTGCCCATGGATCCACAAAATCGATTCTGTCAACTATCAAATCATCCATTTTGAGGGGTAGAGAAATGTTGACCCCATATCTATAGGATTAAGTCATCCTTGTACTGTCATTTGGTAGTACAGTCTTGACAACTATGCTCTTCCATGCACCACCCAACGCCGTGAAACCCGGATTCTATGACTGAAATCTGTCTTTCTCTAGTTCTCTTTCCTCTTTCAAAGCGATCAGCTTGTGCATTTAGCAGATGTGATGTGATTTATATCCCGGAGTGTGTTTGCGCAAACAAAGTCCTGGGTGAATGTTAATTGCTCGAAAGCCCCTTGACTCTTGAACTTCTCTTTGAAACATATATATATATACATATATTGTATCACAAGTGCTTACCTTTGGAACAGCACTATAGCATTACACATGTTCAGATTCAAAGTGGCTCGGACACTCAGAAGGGATTGTACTTACTTTATATAGTGGGGTCCATTTCAAACCAAAAATAATGCTGGCCAGCCCTCCCAGTCCTTGACATCCATGAGTTCAAACTCATCAATGCAGCACACACCATTGTCCTCAGAGATCTGAGAGCAAGGTGACTTTCCCAAATTGCATATCAGATTATTCCTCTTGACATCTCTTGATATCTCTTGACATCTCTTGATATCTCTTGATATCTCTTGACATCTCTTGATATCTCTTGATATCTCTTGATATCTCTTGATATCTCTTGATCCTGTCTGTTTAGTGAAACCATGCTAGCCTTGGGTGTGCAGGCAGTGCCACCTGGGAACGGCCAGCATCAAAGCGCCAGGTTCAATGAGCCTTTCCTGGTCCAAGTCGTTATCCTCGCGGGACATGCTATGCTCACAAGGTGGTGTCCCCGGTGATGTTTGTTGCTTTACAAACCCCAGTACTTCGATAGATCAAACATCAGAAGCATCAACCAACTTGTTGTGTTAATTGATGTTAGTTGTAAACCAACTTTGCCAACTATGGGGCACCACATTGCAGGTTGGGGATAACTGGATGAGCAACGGTCTGGAAATCCTTTGATGACATGTCGTCAATATTCAAGGCCCTGGCAACCACCAATCTGTTGGTCCTTTGAGTATTCACTAAACTGTCATACATAATATCTATCCTATCAGTATCGTGTACCTATCGCAAAAAGCTATCCTATAGCTGCTATAGCTATCCCATACCCATCCTACAACTATCCTCCAATTGTCCTGTAGCTATCCCATCTATCCCCATGTTTGGACCAATGGTGAAAAAACCCATGACTACCTTGACCACCGAGGCCGTCAGCCCCGCAGCGGTGGAGCTCTTGCCGGAGGTGAAGACAGCACGCCTGAGCTCCACCGCGGCGGGGTGTAGGATTTAACTGAGGAGAAATGGTAGATTTAACATGATTTAACTAGGAACAATAGGTGATTAACAGTAACTAGGAAAACTGGTGGTTAAGTTGGAAAAAAATGTTATTTAACATGATTAGCTAAGAAAAATGGTGATATACTTCAGATATCATGGGGATATAAATTGTGGATAAATAACTATCACCGACAGTATATGATATTTGGGTATGTTCCGAAAATAGGGTGTATAACCGCAAATTGCTGTTTTAATATCGGAAAATGATGATAAGTCACAAAATGATTCACCTTTGGAGCTACCCCATTTTCAGACCAACCCGTGTGTGCAGTGGTCGTCTGGTCATCCATGCCACGACAGGAATCCTTATATCGGCCATCGTGCCTTTCCCAACAGTTAAAGGTGGTATGAACATCCTCCAACATAGGTATAATCAAACTTTGAGCTATACCCGCTATGGTTTGGGGATGTTTTGGAGTGATATTGGTCAGGTCATTAGAGTATTCATGATAACTAGAACGTTGGGATCGTCTTTCCAAGTACTGATGACAACTAGATATTAATCAGATTATCTTCGAAACAAGCCAGTCCTGGTCAATAAATCCACTGGCCCAACAATGGCTCGAGATTTGTTTAAGATCTTTTTAGGAACAGTGTGTACGGTGCTGTACCCGGTGTCAAGCATCCCTGAGGAAATGCCCAGAATTGGACAAAATTGAAGCAGACTGTCATGGTTGCAGATGCAGATGAGAAGCGGAAGAAATTTGGACACCCATCGCAAGATCTCGCTCTTGCCAGTTGCGGGATCACCCAACCTGACAGCCAAGACAGCCAAGAAGCTAAGACAGTCAAGACAGTCAAGAAACAGATGTGTGTGTTTGAGGCGCAACATGAAAGAATTGCCATCCCCAGGTGCCAAGTTGCAAGCACACGTTGATATCTCCTCGAAGCTGAATGCCTTCCATGGTGGACTTCTTGACGCCACCCACCAGCATCAACAAGATGCCCTGGCGTGTGAAGAAAATGCCGAAATTGTCTCTGGATATGGCTCGAAAATTGGGGAATCTATATGGACCCGAAAATGATGACATGTCATCATATTTCAATATAATTTAGTCTAGTAATTCATGTTGTACTGATCCAACTTGAGCTAAGAATTTTGAACCACAGACTGCCTTCTTGACATCCAGGTAGCCGCTGATGCTGGGAGCCACGGCTCGGGCCAAGAGGTCCAAGCAATCACGCTTGCCACCCATGCTGACGTGCTCGGAGATCTGTTCAAAACGCTCCTGGGGAGAATTCCAGCACAAAAAAAATGAAAAACCTGAGTTCACGTGAGATACCTTCAGAAATTTTAACAGAAACGCAGAACACAAACACTCAATTTGCAAGTCTGCATCAGCAACTACGGACATCCTTCATCCTACTTGTCTTACTTCTCATGCTTTTTTCGTGTTCTTATCATCATGTCCATGCAACGGCGATGGGGCAATGTATCAATGGGTCTGCAATCAGGTCCTTGTCCACTTGAGACAAGTACATCTTCTCTTCAGAACGAATGTTCTCGCTCTTCTCGTCACTGCCACGGCTTGCCCAATCGGAGTCCTGCCACGGCTAGCCCAAACAGCACTGAGGTCAGTTCATGTGCGGCCTGCCCTTACCCCTCATCCCACATCTCTTTCCAGCCTCATCAATGTATGTTCCATAGAAAGCCAACTTGTAGGTGAGATCTCGATTTCCCACCGACTTCAAACCACGAACTCCTTCTCCTGCTGCATAGGATGGGTCGGAGCGGGTGTTCAGGGACCTTCTGACGGTGGCCTTGAGTTCTCCAGGGCTCATCAGGGTCGGAACGTCTGGCACCACGATGAGGGATCCTGTGATCTGAACCTTGTCACCAGCCTTGCATCGCTCCGTTCCCTCATCTCTCACAATGACATCCATGGTTTGAGGCATGGAACCTGCCGGCACTTCATTCTCATTTTCTTGCAATCTCACACGTTGCCAGTCGCCCCAACGAGTTGAACGACTCTCTGCCAGGAGCTTCCAATTGGTCGTGTTGCCACAGTTTTTGGTCGGGCACCGGGCTGGTGTGGTGACCTTGAACTCCTGCGCCACTCCACTGATTTCACGCTGGCATTCATTGCACTTCCAGGTTGCAACCAGCAGCTCCGGCTTGATGTCAGTGGTGCGGGTGACCGTGCCGCAGATGGTCACAAGCCTTCCGGGACAAAACATGCAGCACTGTTTGCTCATTGAAAAGCTAATAAATGCTAATAAGTCTTGGGTTCGTTCAAAAACAATATGGGTGGTGGTTTCAGACCGACCACACAAGCCTCTGGAAATGATCAAACCACCAGTTTTGCGTCGCACCTGCCCAGCTTGTCAGTGCGAAGATCGCGGATGCCGCTGTAGGTCGCCAAGTCATAAAAGGCCACGGTGAACTTCAGCCTATGCAGCATGGCAGCATGGATCCATGAAATCCATGGGATGGGCTCCTTGTTGTACCCGGTGATTTTGGAGTCCCCCAAATGTAATGCAGAAACTTCTGAAACTATCCACAGTCTGAAGGTGAAGTTCTACACACGTGCTGCAAGGGTTGGAAGGCACTTCGAAATGGCAGCAATTAGACAAAGTGTCCACAAGATTCCAGCGTCAATCCTGCTTGGAAACACGGAAAATATGATTCTAATTTGGAGAGAATTGCGCTCCCCGCATCTGCCAACTGCTGTGATGACAAGGGACTCATCCATCTTCTCAACCTGCGAACAAATGAAGTGCACCATGACTGAGCAAAGACCAACAGCTGACCCCCCACACAAAGGCTTTGAGCTCAGCAATGCTCAGCACCTCTGCTTGCAAGTCAGGATCCTCCAACTTTGACAGGAGCTGTGGCACAGCAGCCTGAGACCACATGATTTGATATACAAGGGATTGGGGGACTCTTTGGCAAGCTTTTGCTTAGTCTGCAACCACATAGTGTCTGCTAGTTGCAATGGAGTGTAAAAAAGGATAAAAAGGGGTCATCCGAACTGGGAGTTTGGTCAGCTTGAACAGCAGCAACTTGAGTACAAATTAACCATCTACCTCCAGATTCAACAGTCTCTACGAGTTGAATCAAACACCCACACAGCATCTGCATGGCTTGAACTGGTCTTGAAACACCCATTCCATCATGAGAAACCACTGAAGGTTTTTTATACCTTTCTCCTACCGACTCCTACCCCTCCGATAAAGGGGAAGACTTCTACTATAACCTCACAGAGCCAATGGTATCAAGTGGCATTTAGTGCATTTTGCACAACCATATACTTGCTGTGGATCACAGCAATGAGGTCTTCTGGTTCGAAGGAGACGGCATCCCGGTCAGCCTTGCGCGGTCTCCACATTCAACTGCACTTCCGATTAACTCTGGCAATATGACGCTGATGTCCGCAAACCAATCAAACTTTTCAAATTTGGTGGCCTCAAACTCCGATTCTGATAAGTACTGGATTTGAGTTACTTCCCGCCCTGCTAGCATTCGTTGGAAATGTGAGGCCCTGCACATTTCCCTGGAGACCTGCTCCAAATGGCCCATTTTCACATACATTGTCTTCCTGTTCTCCCTGATCATCGCCTGGACAGGCACGGAATGATACGGAATGCCTAGAGTGTATTACTTGGCATATCTTGGCATTATTGACAACAATTCCAAGTGAAAAATGATCAAAACCACTGGGGCTCTAGGGCCTCTAGGGATGTCGGGGGTCCAATTTTAACATGTTGACTCATTTTAACCCACCACAATCTGCAGCGGCATATGGAGGCATAAGGAGCCCTGAAGGCCTTGGCTTGGTCCACGTAGTAGAGGTCATCCTCTCGTTCTCCATCTTCCTTCACCCGCTTGAAGGACTCCAGGAACCTCATCTACAGCGGTGAAAACATGTTTTTTACATAATTATCTCGAAAGATCCCGGAAAACACTTGGAACCACCAACCAGCATCAACCAGCATCAATGCTATAGAAATGTCGATCATGTTAACTCAGTTTAACAATGTTTAACATCCCCATGAGTTGTGCCGAGCATCTCAAGGAAATATCGCTGAACCCGCTGCATCAAGTGGCTGCGAGTGAGAGGATCCATGGCCTGGGAAGGGCAAACTGTGTCGGTTGAACCGACGGTGATCATGAACAGTGGGGACAGTGGGGTGTAGTATCAGTAGTCAGTGCATATCGCAACTGGGTCGGGGAGCGACCTCTAAGGTCAATCCGAAGACGGAAGGAGACAGCGAAGATTGAGCCAGAAGTGCTGAGGCACTCAAAAAAAAACAAGGAAACACTGGAGTCTCAGAAGTGCCATCTGATTGCATTTCTGCAAACCGTCTTCCACTCTTGAGAACTTCAACTCACCTCAAAAAAAAATGGAGATGCAAGAAACCATCAGAATTGAACCCATTCCATGCCATGACTGGCTCCTTGCTCCCTTTCTCGGTTTGGGCCTTGATATCGCCAGCCAGAATTCTTCCAGATGGGCTACGCTACGTACGTTTCGCACAACTTTGGGCCCCAAAACTCCTTCCAAAATGGTTGAAGTTGATGCTGCTTGATGATGTGTGTGTAGGAAAGTAATGGTTTTGGGGTATCCCAAATGTCTTGACTTGCCCATGGTGTCTTGACTTGTCGCCAAAGGCTCAAATCCGCTCTTTCTCCTCTCTTGTCTAAGTGCCTCACACGGCCTTTGCCTCCCTTTCCACCTCAACGGTTCACAGCAACCAGCGCCTGATTCTACTCAACCCAAGAGTGTGACTCCATGTGACTCCCCCTCATTCCTTTACTACACTAAAGAAACTTTGGTGTGCAGTGCAGTATGAGAGGAGCTTCAAGGGAATCTGAGTCAGTTGGACAGGGGCAGATGATACTTTGCCATCAACAATCCTTCAGGCCAGCAGACCTTTTCCACGAGACTCACAGAGATTGCCTCCTGCGTCCTGCGATTCTGGAAGACTCCACATTGCGAAACAAAGGCTGAGGAATTTATGAAATGCACACTCTGGTTAAAATGCAGTTCATCTGTTGAACAACCTTGCAGCGACAGCAAATCAATCTCCCCGACTCTCCAAGCTACCACGCAAAAGTTGTTTGCTTTTGTCTGGTGCATTTTGCAATGGTTGTTGCTTCCTGACCCTGTCCGTTCTCCTTTTGTAACCTCGAAACGACTCGAAAACCCCTGGTTTCTTCAAGGTACGAGTCACTTGACGCTGAACATCGCTGAACTGGCTACAGAGCATTTCGAGCATGGTCAGACCGAGCTATGGACGGAGGCGACATGCCACGCTTTCAGCCGAAATCCATGAGGGTCTGCCAAAGATCTGTGTAGTCAAATGACAAAAAAAACAAGCTTTTATGTGTATATTATATACATACATACGGACATACGTACACATCCTGCTGCTTGAAGCAAACACCTTCAGCTGAATATGGCGCATCCATAATCTGAGAGTGAGACTAACTTTACTTAAGGTTATTTTATTGACTTTCGCTCGCTGGAAGACATCAAAGCACGTCTATTCAAGACCATCGAGACTGGGCTAGAGCCTTCCTTCACGGGCTGCATCACATTCATGGCTCAAATCAGCTGCAGGACGAGAAGACAAACTTTCAAACAAACACCCGGTGGTAAAATGCATCCACGAATCTCGGGTCGTTTCCCAGCTGTTCACTTTCCCAGTGAAATCAAACTTGAGGCATTCAGATGTGACCGTCACTTGAGACACGACAACTTTTCAGCCTTTCCGCTTTCCATCACGGCGCGCCTCACCTCGCACCCACTCAGTGACCTGGAGCCGGTGATTTCAGCAACGCGACCGTGGTCAGGTTCTATCCCAAACCCTCCAATTTCTGAGCCTAAAAAATCATCATCCCCAGCTCCCATATCTCCCATCACCGACATTGACATTAGTTAAGGTTCAGCCCATGGATCCACCAGCCCATGCTAATGGCCCTCATCCGGACCTTCTTTCGCAGCTCAGGAGAGCGACTACAATCCTCTAAGCCTTGGTTGTTCAGTGGGATTTTTCTTTGGAACCCTCCCAACAATGAACGAACCTCCTAAAACGAATCGAAAGAAGGGGTGGAACCATCCAAATATCCCTTTTGACTCATGAATGGACAATGAACCATCCTACCGAAATTGTCCAAGCCCTGGTTTGACTTTTTTTCAAACCATGTTGGGCGTGGGTCCGATTTCTAGAACGGGTGTCATGTGAGCAGTGTCTTGCAGGTGTCAGTTTGCACTACAACAACAGCAGCCAGTTCCCTTACACAGCCATAAAGTCAGTCATCACCTCGATATCATGGTCTGAAACTTCACTTTCCCAATTAAAACACATGGATACGGTACGGGTCAAAATTGGGTACCCCAATAATTGGATGCTTGATACCAAGAATTGACTATGTCTGTCGTCCCCCAGGTCTTGAATTTTGACCCATACCCACATCTGAAATTGCATTCCAAGCTCTGAGCATCTGACAGAGGCCTTCCCCTGTCACTGGACAAGTGTTGCCATGTTTCTGCAACCACCTGTGGTGGGCCAAGGTGAGCAGTCATCCATCTTCTTGAAAGAAATCTGTTGGGTAAAAAAAAAAACTTTCCAGCTCGCTCTTTCTCAACAGTCTCTGGGGATCAATACCTATGACTTTCCACAAAATTAGGGATGAACGTCCATAGATCCCATCTAGTTTGGTGTTCACCAAGGGAGTTGATGAGTTTGACCATGACCTCTTGGTTTCGAATGCAATCATGTGAAACAGGGCAAATCTGAGCTTCAGACCTTGCCAAAGTGGAGCGTTCGAAGATCACACCGCCTTACGTCCGGTGCAAAACACGAGATAAATTATGTGTATAAAATGTGTATGTATATATATATGTATGTGTATATGATATGTATCTATGTGTATCATCTGTAAGTTGAGGACAACACGTATATGATGTGTATCTATGTGTATCTATCTATAGCTTCAGGCCAAGGGGTCACGGACGAAAGCTAGCTGGGAAGGTAAGGGAGAAGGAGGAAGGTGTGGTGAAAGAGCGGTGTATGAGGATTGAGCCACGGCAAAACTGCTTCCAAAAAAAAACATGGGAGGGGCGGGGGGTAGTTAACTGTGAAGTTTCATGTAATTGGCGATTCCAGTCCCTGCCAATACCTTGCTAAAGCAAGAGGGACTTCAGCTAGCAGAAGCTAGCTTTCGTGATCTATAGTATAACAAGAAGAACAATAATGATGATAGTAATAATCTAGTAATTAGTAACAATAAGAAATATATTACGTAATATATACAACTTTCTGCTCACATGTCTGTGCGTGTGTGTGTGTGTGTGCATGTGCGTGTGTGTGAGTTGGCAACAGGCCAGTGCTGCGATTTGCGACCGTATCCAGCTTAGTACGAGTCAAAATTGAGAACCAAACAAAAAATGGCCAGTCTATGGCCTGTTAGGCCCGAAAATGATCAAAACCATTCAAAACCTGTAGTTCATTGGATTGGCTTAAGGGGAAAATTGCGGGAAACCTCTATGTTCTATTGTAAAAACATGTAAAAACCACATCCCATGACCCATGACCTGCAGCCAGCCTGGAGAGACCACAGGGTCACATAGAAGTTTCTCATCGAGGGCACAGCGTAACTCCTGAAAACTCGGCGGATGATTTTTAGATTCTTTTAGAAGACTTGGGTTTAGGGCGGTTTAGGGGAAACCTATTTTCGACAGATCCAAATCGGGCTTTGCCGACCCAAGATCAGCAACGGCTTCACCGTTTATTCATTCCCTCAGTGTCCTTGGGTGCGTTTTGCACGATGTCCCGGAGTCCTGAAAGTTGCAAAAGTCCATGCAAAAGAGATGCAGTTGGTTGGAAATGTCAACCAAGGCCAGCAGACATGAAATATGAGTTGAGATCAGCCAAGGGAGTCATGGACCGAGTGGCAGATTGTTTACATGTCACAACTTCATATTTCTTCCACCATCAAGAATTCCCTAAGTCATTGGGTCGCAGGGTCTCGAATTTCGACCTATTCCGGATCTTTTTAAGGTTCGATGTCTATTTTTGATAGCTTTCACCCAAAAAACTTGAGGGTTGAATACTTACCCAGTCTGTTCATGTTATGGGTTATTAACTGGTTATAATATCATATATATATATATTATAATTATATACACATATCATATACACATGTAGAGATAGATGTAACCCCCCAGAAATCTTACATGTTTCGATGGATTTTTCTTGGTGTCCCCCAAAATCTCCTGGTTTCGCAGGAGGTGACTTTGGCGCCGCATGCGGCGCAACCTCCTGTGGCACTGGCGCTGTGCCAAAGAGGGCAAGCCTGGCTACAAGACCAACTATAGTGGGAATACTATTGGGAATACAATGTTTTGAGATATCTATGGGGAATACTATTGGGTGCTTGTCAAATTCCAAGGGGGCATTCATAAAAATTATCATAAGTTGATAGTTTTTGAGTTTAAGACCAAGGCAATTCCAGCACCAAAATATGAAGTGTTTACCAACAAGTGCTAGGGGATTTCACCCGGATAAAATGATCATGAAGTGCGGGCATCAAAAAAACACAAGTAGGTATCAGCTTTCCCAACCATCGATACTGGTCACCCAAAATCAAACAAAATTGGATGGGCTTACTGTAATTGCAGGAATTGAAGAATCCATTGGTATCCAATGTTTGAGCCATAGCCACATTCGATAACCGATCCAAGAGTGTAGGGGAATCATCCAACAACGGGCATGGTGCCTGACTTTGAGCCATGAGAATGGGGTGTGAACAATAAAGACTGGGAAATTGTCCATCAGCTGGTGCATAATCTAATTTAGGAGCAGGAAACGGCCCAAGCTTGGGCTCGAATCATTTTGGGCCATCGCAGAATTCAAGGATCAAGATTGAAGAAAATGAGCATTGAATGCATCAAAATTCATGGGTTTATCAGCGTTCTAATCGCCATGCATCCTTGTGGTGATTTAATGATTTGCGATGGTCCGGAAGAACCTCAAACAGTCGCAACTGCCTCAGATCTGATTCGTTGTGTGATAATTGCAAAAGTGGGCGACCAAGCAGCTTTGCCAGTATGTTTTCCCGGATCCACAAAAAACCTTGCTCTTCCAGATCCGTAATCTAAAAATGGCGGGAACACAAGCTGTCGCCGGCTGCCGTAAGCCTGCAGTGCATTGGTTCAAAGAGGCCCCGCTACAGAGCTGTGGTCAGACCCATGTGACTTCATGTCAAGTTGTAAGAAGCCAAATGAATAAAGTAAATTAGTGTCAGTGTATACCTATGACTAAAATACCAATGACTAATATACCTATTCCATTCTCATTTGTCTTGCGCATGGGGTCTTGCGCACGGGGGTCTTGCGCCAGCGGGAGATGTCAGATGTGAGTTGGCTGGCAGTCAATGCATTCCCAGTCCCTTCAGTGGACTAAGATTAACAAAACTATGAACGGTGGGGACACAACTGAACCTCCAAACTATCACGTCATGCTATGTCTCGGAGTCTCCGCAATGCCAGGTTTTACATGCCAAGTTCCAACTATGCAAGGAGACATTTTATACAAGTATATACATATCTATATAATTCTATATACAAGTATATGTACAGATTACAAATCCAAAGCCCCAGTCTGGCTCTCTGAGATTCTGGCACTAAGCCGTGCCGGTCATGGCCTTGGAAACATGGCATTGACAGCTTGGATCGCTTCCTTACACTTACATCATACCATACCATACCAAATCACTATGATTTCGTTTCATTTAGTGAATATCTCTATGTATATATATATATACAGAGTTTATATAATATACATATGTATCTACTATATAACGATTATAACTAACACAATATTGCCAAAAGGACCAGCGATGTGTGCATTCATGGCCTAATCTTGCGGCTCGCCCTAAGCTGCCGACGCGTGAGCCGCATGCGAGCTCGCGCGAGATCGTCTGCTGAGAGACGACCTGAGACTGTCCCAATGTCCCAGTTTCACCAGTTGTAATGGCCCTTGGAGAAACCAAAAAAGCATTTTAAAAAAAACGATGTTTTTTTTAAGAAACATAGGGAATATATGGGAATAGTGGGTTTGCTTCAAACAATGGTAAACCCCCAAGTCCAATGGTTTAGAAGGTGCTGAGAAAACTGATTATATTATATATATATATATATATTATATATATATACCATATTTTCAGACAAACTCAGTGGACACTGGCCAACTCTCGTGGTTCAACAGTCTGGGTGGCTGGCTGATGTGCTCGCTCAGCCGTGGGCTGATGTATTCCAAATCCTTGGCTGAACGCTGTTTGAAAAACAAGAAGTTCCACGAGACAGTTTGACCAATCCGTGCGAAAAAACACCGCAAGGCTACACACAGTATAACGGGATATCATGATTAGCATGATAAATAAAAACTCCTTGTGGGTTGTAGTGGATGTGGGTCGTCCCACTGTTGGGTTTTTCCTCCTTGTCATGGCAGGCACGTCAAGCCTCGCAAGATGGGCCTGAGATCAGAACTCCCACATTCGAAGCCAGCGCACCCAAGGCTGCAAGCATGGCCGCACGGTCGCTGGCCTGAAAATTAGGAACGATTGACCACCCAAAACATTGGGATTCCTTAGTTTGTTGTGGTTTGGTAAAGTTTGGGAGGTCTGAAATTGAGAAAATCCTCAGACTTTTGGGTGTTTCACAGCTAGTTGATCCAATCCTCTGCCAAAATGATATATTTCAAACAAAGAAAATCAAGACTTTGAAACTGGCACCACTTTTATACTTTCCATCACATAGTTGCACCAGAAACTAGTCAGGTCAACCCCTGGACCGTAACCCCGCTGAATCTCAAACCATGGTTGCTGCATACGTAATTCCCACCGAAACCAACAACTAGGGGGGTGAAACCAAGCAACGCTGCCATGGCTCAAAATCAATTATGTGTAAATATAATTAAATAATATTAAATATATGTATATTGCATAATTACATAATTAGTTATACTTACAGCAACCCTCAGAATCCTACTAAAAAATAGTGGTAAATCACTATGTTTTACTAGTCCCACCATTTTTTTTTCACAAACTAGTGATTTTATTGCTCTATCTTTGTGATGGTGACTATATGTTACCCCAGTTTCCCCAAAGCGTTGGAAAATCGCCTCTGTGCATCCAAGGTCGGCATCGCAGCAGCTGGTCACCAGAAGACGACAGCTGAGCCTCAGAGCCGTCTACCGTTGAAACATGTTCCCTCCAAACACCGGGTTCGCCCACACTCAAACAACACATCCAAACAATATGATATACGTATCACAAGAGGATGAATGAAAACACTGGCTATACGCAGTGATTTTGATTTTAAGTTTTCAGGATTTAGGGTTTTAATTTAGGGTTTAGGGTTTTAGGGTTTTAGGGTTTGTTGTTTTGGAAAGCAAAAAAACTTAAACCTTACGCAGGGATTTGAGCATGTCAAAGGATTTCATTGTCTTTTAAAGAAGGCTCCAAGTGTTGGGCAATGTTGGGAACCACGAGCTGCAAGCAGGTTTTGGCATGCTCAAATATCTTAAGCGTTCCAAAAATTCGACGGGTCAATTGTCTGACTCCAGCAACTTTTTTGGTGGCTTTCTCAGACAATCCCAAATCATCCAAACCATCAGAAACTCAGTGCTTGCTCCCGGAGCCGTCAAAGCTGGATGTCTAAGCTTCACGCGTGAAGTGGTCATCAGAGCAGCCTTCAGACCTGAATGGCAACATCTGCGTCAGTCCCAGGTTTGGCATTCCCGCATGTAACTGGGAGTGTGTTTCCGTGCTAAACAAAAGAACCTGAAATTGCAGTCGTAAGTGAAGCACATCCGACCAGTTCCGACCTCTCAACCCATTGGATGTGACCCAACTTGGCCAGTGACATCCCGCTTTGCAAAACAAGGGCTGCAGCCAGGCAAGCACAGCCTCAGGATACATAGAAATGGCGGTCGAATCCGCAACAAACAACCACCAACCATCATCTTTCTTGGGTTACTTCCCCATTCTTTCATTCTTCCAGGGTCAATCCCCATCGTCTTAGATGAATATCTGTTAAGATCCTATGTGTGCTGGCTTAAAATCCTCATCATTTTTTTTTACATTTACAACATATATCAACATATAAGAAAACCCTCATGTGTTCCCAGTTTTTTGGAGATTTTGTCGTGTCCAAGTTTTTGCTGAGATTCCCATAACATCCATCCACGCCATCTGGGCCAAAGCGGCTGGCAACCAGCTCACGGAGATTCATTGGATGGTCGAAGCCTTGCGCCGCCACTGCCTGCGCAGTATCTTGAGGTATCAAAACATGTGGATTTCGGGGATATGAATTAGGAAAAATGCTGGGTTAACTAGAAAAAATGGTGGATCAACTGGGAAAAAATGCTGGATTAACTGGGAAAAATGCTGGATTAACTGGGAAAAATGGTGGATTAACCAGGAAAAAAATGTGGATTGACTAGGAGAAATGGTGGGTTAACGAAGCAAAAATTGTGCTAAAAAGGGCGGGTTAACTAGGAGAAATGGTGGATTTAATATGATTTAACTCCGGGTATGAATTGCCAACGTTCTCATGGAAAGCTTGGGGATCAGATGTATATATGAAGATTTCCTGAAATGGGGGTACCCCCAAAATCATCCAAGTCATGGATGACTGGATGACCACTTTAGTATTGAAAACCATGGTGACTTGGGGATCCCCCCATTTTGAGAAAACCCCAAAAAGATGTTCATCTTTGCGTGCCAAGCGGAAACAACCTCGAGCAAGCGCCCAAGCTTGTCGGCTATTCGATGCACCTTGCCAACTTTATCAGGCGGAGCGGCCAAATTTGCCTCTGAAAAAAGGGGTATACCCCAATACATGGCCATGAAAAACATTGAAAAACTGGGGAAACTGATGTTTTAATCCAATGGAATTGGGGGTACCTTTTTTTTCAAACAAACCCAGTTGTTTTTTCCCATTTGTATGGCAAAAAGCATGGTTTCCTGCAGAATTGTCCCTAGATCGATCCACGGGCTGTCAACACGTCGATGATTTTGAGCTGCCCGCGTCTGCTCTCAGCTTCAGCAAGGGAGACTGTGGATCATCATGCAATGGCGTCGCCACCTTGGGTAACTGGACAAATGAACTTTCTCCCACGAATTCTGCTGGTTGCTTCGACTATATGGGGTCCGAAAAAATGATAGCAGCTAGTAAAATGACCTAGCTGTGTTATTCCTATGGTTTCAAATTTTGATCCGCAACCATATGGGGATGGGTCAAATGGTCAAACAAGAACATTACGAATGCACATCTATAACAGCAAGCTGCTTCATACCCAGAGGTATGGTTCAAAACATCCCCTATTTGGTGAGTTCCTTGCGGTCCATGTTTGACCCAGTGTCATCTGTGAAACCCCACCTGCGCTAGCAGCGAGGCCAAGAATTGAATCAGCTTGGAGCCTGTGGCTGCACCTAGCGCACCAGAACTTCGAGTTTCGGGCAAATCCCAATGGAATTGCAAGCCCTCTCGTCATGTGAAAACTAGATGCAATGCAGTATTCACAATGTCAATGTATGTATATGTTGCGTATTAATGCATATTATGTATATATATATATATGTGAATATACATATATAGTTCATAATACACACATATTATTATGTACACATACACTACACACATGTAACTGTGAGTTCTCCTGCAGCTCTGAGTTCTGATCTCCCTAGACTTCCATTAGCGCAACCCTGAAGCATGGCACCTTCTTTTGGAAAGTGGCTACTCCGCGCAAGCGCAGCATCCACAGCAGACTGGGAATCGCGGGGCTGGGAAGACTATTTGCATCCTAGCAGTCCTAGCATTAATTGAGGGCGAGTTTCTAATTGTAAAAACATTATATCCATTGATATCCCAGAATCAATTGAGGGAACCCACCTCGAGCACCCCAGTCTCAACCATGGCAGCTCCAAGTACCTGGCGCCATGGTGCCGTGGTCAAGTTATGTGGGACGAATAGGTTGTGGTCATCTATCCCCTAGGAATCAAAACACACTGAGTATATAAATGTGTATGAAAATGGAATGATGGCCATCCTCCAAGCAGCAGGGCATCTGATCAAACTCTTGACCATGGCAGATAAGGTCCAAAAACGCAGAGAAACCCGAAAGTCTTGCTAGTTGCATTGTCTTAGCGTTTTGCTAGTACTATTGTTGGGCACCCACTTGAGAACCGCATCAACCAATGCTCTACAACGGATCCCCAACAACCTCCAAGTAGAAGTGAAGGGACCGGTTCTGCTCGTGGATGTCACCCTGCAAACAGGTGCCGTGTTCAGCGAGCATGAATCGACTTCTGCCTCCCATACTGCCGTAGAGCTAGCACATCATGGTGAGACTGTGTTAAAATGTGTGGACATATATATCTGTATATATATACAATGCGTATCATTAAAGAATGGAAAAATCATACCCGGAGGAAAACGACAATAATATCAACCAAAACTTTTTTGTTTTTGTTGATATTATTGTCGTTTTCCTGCGGGTATGATTCGTCCATTCTTAAACGAGTGTTTTGTAAAAAGTTTTGTACATATGAATATGACTATGAATATGAATAGGGTAGGAGCAGGGATATGAATATGAATAGGGTAGGAGTAGGAGCAGCAACACGAATAGGAATAGGAATAGGACAAGAAGTAGGAATAGGAATTAGGAATTAGGAATTGCATTACACGCCTCCAGCAGTTCGTCCTTCAGGGCCATGCGGTTCAAGAGTGGCTGGCCTTTTGGCGCGTCCGGAAGCGTCAGCAAGCGGCATTAGGCGCTGGAAGCCGCCGTCCTTCAGGGCCTTTAGGATTCAGCATGGCGAATCGACTTTGTGACACTTCACTCTCAACGCTGTCAACGCTGTCCATGCGTCCATTTACCGGTGACCTCAAGTCAGGCCATCGTGATAACCTTGCAACGTGGGCCAAGATGGCGCCACAACATGGCTGCAACATGCCCCAACATGGCCCAAAGATGGCAGTGCAACATTACAACATATTACATGGCTCAACATAGACCCAACATAGCTCCAACGTTGCCCAAGATAGCCCGCCCCAACATGGGCCAACATAGGCGACATGGCCATAACATAGCCGCTTGTCCCAAGATGCCCCAACACGGCGCTGCCAGCCAAGTCCTTCATTCCGAAACATCCCGGCTCTACAATGATAGTAGTGCTGTATTAACAATAATGACAATAACAATCCTAACAATAACTAAAAAACAAATAAGCATATCGTAAAAATAAGAAGCATAATAATGTGTGTGTGGTTGTGTGTGTGCATACCTTCCTTAAGGGTACTGTAGGTACGGTGGCTTAATGGCTCAACCTGCCCTTTTCCTGTTTCTATGTTCCTCGTTTGGGCAGCTGTCTATCAAGGGAGCGTCGTCTACAAAGGAGTCAAGTAGTAGCCATGGCACAGTCAAAAGAAAGTGTCTATTCTCATTGGTTTATGGAAATATGAGACATTTATAATAGAGCCGTTTATATATTAAAAATGATACCACCAGGTCCCGCTTCCATGATGCCAAGGCAGCCGCAAAAACAGACACCTCGCTGCCATCACTGCGAGGAAATGCCAAATCAGGGGCAGTCAACCCACAAAGAGCACCAAGCGCAACGCCTCCCGCAGAAGTTTTGGAGGGAGGCAATGGCCTTTCAGCTAACTGCTGATGCTTCAGCTAGGATGGGGGAGTTTGGTTTGCATCATCAGAACCATATAACATATAACCAACAAAATCGAACCATCAATCACAATTCCGCGTTGGTGGATGGGACGGAATTGCCTGATCATCTTGATGATAGAAGCTTCCATTAGATCAGATCCATCCCTGCGCCTTGGATCTCGCTGGTATCATGCGGTAAAGAGCTATCATCTGCTCGAACTGCGAACAAACCTTGCAGCCAAAGCGCTTGCTAGCTTTATGAAATGAAATTTAAGGAGTTTCATGGTGTTGCCCAGAAGTGCAAACATGTGCAGCTCACAGCCCACTCTTTACTGTCAAAAAGTTATTCAAGATGAAATCCTGTGTACCAAGCACTTCAAGCTGTTTAGCTTAGAACCCCCACCTCGAAGCAGCGAGCAAAGACAAAGAAGGTCGTGGTTCACAAATTCCATGAGCGAAGAGGCTGGCAGCAGCATCGTCAGCTCCCAGCGAAAAAAATGCACATCGAAAAGCTATGGAAACAGAAACCTATGAGACTTGCACTGCCAGAGACTGCCAGTTATGGTCCCTTCATGTCCCTTCCATCCCCAGTTTTCTTGGGCAGAACCCTCTGACCACGGTTCTACCTGTGACAGAGGCATAGCCTAGGGCCCGAAAGAGCACACACATGAGCCTCAGCTGACGTCAGAAGAGGAGTCTTGGCTATCCAAAGGAAAAAATCCTTGGGAGGGGAGGAAAGCCACATCACAGTATCAGGGGATCTTAGCCTTCGCTCGAAATCGTTTGTAAAAAAAACATCTTGGTGGGTCAAGAAACCCAATAACAATCATATGTCACGCAGAACAATCCATCAATCTCGTGGAATTCCATCTGGGCTGCCTACCATGCTGAAAGCTCCTGTAGGGCCTCAGTTCGTGGTCATTCTTAGTTGGTTGTTCAATGTAAAGTAAATAAATCATCCAATTTTCGAAGTACCCAGATTTGACCCAGACCCGTATGTTTCAATGACTCTCTGATCTGGCCTTACTAAATTATCACAGGAATTCACAGGAGAGTCACAGTTTTTTCGAACGCTCGAACTGTTGTCACCCTCTTTGTCAAGGACGAATATATTGATTTTATATGGTGATAATAATAATAATAATAAAACGCACTAAAGCAAAGTTCATTTCGAGAATCCGCAAATCTATTGCTGCAATCGACACCCCCAAGTCATTCTTTGAACCAACAAATAATCGTCCTGTCTTGTCATGTCTTGCGCCTGGCGATGCTCGATGGAACCCCAGTAAGCCCCGAAGTCATCCTGCACATTCGACTCGTCGCAAGCCCCAGAAGCCAAGGTTTCGGACAAAATGACACAAAATACTAAATCGTGGTTTATTAATTGGGGGGGTACTCCCCCAAGAGTCATAATCTGATACTTCAATGGTACCCCACAATTAGACAGCCTGGAGGTTTATCAATGCAGGCTTGCACTATATACAATATATGCATGATGTATGTGAATATGTGTGCTATATAATTAGATACACACACACACAGAGTTTAGATTTAAATCCTGGAGATAAGGCCGATGTATGACAATGTCATCTACCTTGACAAGTGAGTCCCTGTATCAGGATGCGGATGGAATTGGTATCAAGGTCACAAGAATCCCGATTGACAATCCTGTGTTGCGGGTATCGTCAGCTCTTCACATGAGGATGCGGTTGCAAGCACAAACGCTCCGAGTCTGAAAAGTCGCATAAAACGAGACAAAAAGGGTATTTGGAGCCATGATTCTTGGAGCGAGGTCCACCAATTGAGCCATGAAAAATTTACCCCTATCCCATCCCATTATACTAGGTTAGTATGGGTTAGTAAATATTCCTTAATAATGGGTTAGTTCATAATCCCCAATAACCCAGTAATAGCAGTGGCAGCCCACCTCAATGGGATCCAGGACCACTGGAAGCTCATCCGACCTCATAGCCACTTTCTGGAGTGGGCCTTGAAAAAAAAACTTTGGGGGGATGGATTTTACTGATTTTTGACATTGTTGCTGCTTGAACCACCCTTGTTCGGTCAACATGCAGGACCCCCTTGGCGGTTTCGGCGCCCAGCTCAAGCACTTTGCTCTCCAAACGGCCCAGTCCGCAGTAGACCTGCGATAGTGGTGCATTGGTTCCACAAACAGCTCAGAAAAAGAGACACTCAAGATCCTGGCGGATGTATAAGTATATGGATACATACATTATCAATCATAATTATTGGTTTCACTCATTACTACTGGTTTCTATTATCATTACTACTAGTATGATCATGACTATGTAGATGCAGTACATATCTGTGTATATCTGTGTATCTCGACCATCTGATGGGAGGAACCCACCTCAAGGGCCAGAAAGTCGATCTGATCAGAGAGATCCTCGGTGGTGACTTGACATGGTTTTCAGTGAGAAAATGTGGCATTTAACCATCAAAATCATCAAAGTTGATATTCATTGGTTTGGATAAAAAGGAATCAAAGGAATCTGTTCACGCAATGTCAATTTGACGGTCCAATATCAATATAGGGCTATGTCAATGTGTCTTGAAGCAACTCTAGGAATGGAAGGGTTTGTTCCAACCCACATTCACTGCTGCGAGATGGTCCAACTTGTCCAAGATCTATGCTGCTGCGCATGGCGATACCCGGCCTCCAAGGTTTCTCGGATCCAATCAAAGCTGCTTGCCTGCAATGCTGAGGAAGCTGTGCTTCGGTGCTTCGGACAGATCAGCGGAGTCCTTGAAGTCCAAAACGGCTGTAGGGTCATCATATTCATCATCATCATCATCATCATCATCATTTTCATCACCATCACCATCATTTTCATCACCATCACCATCACCATCACCATCATCACTGGTTGAGGGCTTCTTGCACCATGAACTGTGGAAGTCTGCTAAATTCAGTGCCTTTTCAGCTTTGGTCACAGCCCTGGTCGTCCCCTTCTTCCCACCTCACCATCTGCCAACGGTAACAGCAAAGCTGCAAGAACCTCAGGGAGATTTTGCGCCTCTGATCCTGGAGCTACTTATTTTCAGTTCAACATACGGCTTTGTCTGAAAACAGGGCACCCAAAAAATGTACGATTGATCATCATGTTTCCTATTATTGCATGGACATTTAACCTAATTTTCAGACACACCCATACCAGCCCAACCACCAAACCCCTGCCTCGCAACCAGCTGTCACCAGCCTCGCCAGAACAGTGGACAACTCAGCTTTCTCCTTCGCAGGAAGGATGAGGACCTTACCACCAAGCCTTGGGCCAAACACTGGGATTTGACCAACAAAAAGCTGGAACCAAACACCGAGAAATGCAGGGATTCAACCAGCAACCATGGGAATTGATCAACCATAGGGGAAATTGACCAACATTCACATGCGATTCTTTCCGACAAACATGTTGAAAATACCAACGAAAAGCATTTGTACCAACAAACATCAAAATGTTAAATGACCAAAAAATGGATTTGACATCTTGAAACTCAACTCGGCAATAGAAAACGTCCAATCGCGATTGTAGGAAATGCATCTACCAATCAGGAAAACGTTGATTGACATGGGTTTGTCGAATGGGCCAATTAACTATCACCAGAGATCAACTCCTCAAATGTTAAATGACTCTCCATCAGAAAATGAGAAAATGTAGAGTTATTAAGCTCAGTTCTAAGTGTAATTTCGTCATAGGTGATCAATGGTGACCAACTGCAATACTGCACCTTGCAAGGCCGAGTGATAGGATCCCCCTGTTCTCTGCGAACAAGTCAGTAATGTGAGTAATGTGAGTAATGTCAGTAATGTCAGTATCAGTATGGGGTAGATTAGATCTCCAGAGCAAAGCTATGAAAAGAAGGTAAAAGAAGTCTGGCAACACGTCTTGCAGTGTCTTTCCAGTTGAAGTAGATCAGATCCCAAACTCTCCTAGTGCAAGGCTAGGTTCAACTGATCTGTGCTATGACTCAGAGGTCTAGTGTCTGAAGGAGGTTGAAGATCAAGCACAAAAGATCATGTAATGATCATGAATGATCATATATTACTATGTACAGTGATTACGTTGGTATCAAGAGGTATCCAACGGGTATAACAAAGTCAGCACATCCAACTTCCGCTCCACCACGTTGATGCACTCCACAGCTAAACCTCAGAGACATCGAGCTTAGCGTTCAAAAATCCGGCGGTTTGAAACCTCGTTGTCCCATCAATTTCTGGGATTTTGTTCACCCCACATTGTGTCCCCTTTGGCCAAATACATCCAAATACCTTGGCACCCGGCCGCAAAGGCAAGGAAAACTCGATTCCACTGGCCTGAAGGCAAATACAGAGAATACGCCGCAACAATAAATCGAGACAAAATGCTGGTGTTAAGTCTTTTAAGTCCTCATCTTTTTGTTTCATTTGATGATCTGTACATATATGTATATACTACTTCAGCAACAATGGTTAGATTGAGTAAAGCCTCGGAGCTTCAAATCGTTGCATATCTTCGGCGCAAAGCCAAGACCCCCGTCTGACCCTCCTGGAAGCATCTCCCTTGGCCTTCTCGCTGCCTCACCCTCACGTTCTTTGCATAAGGAGAGTGTCTGAGAAGCCTCACCAAAACAAATGGCAGTTGGTCAAAAACCCCTTGAGACTTACAGATTTTGACCATTCTTTTGGATTCCGATGATTCGACCATATTCAACCATTCAACCATATTGAACCATATTGAACCATATTGAACCATATTGAACCATATTGAACCATATTGAACCAACCAATTTGACGAGTCTTCATCCATACCCAAATGCAGGTGCTGCTTCTTAGTGGGCTCAAGGTTTTGCTGCAACATGTATATAATTGTGTCCTTTAAGTAAATTCAATGGGGAAGCGGGCGACAGGATACGTTGAAGATAGGTGCACGCAAAAAGGCAAAAGGGGGAGAAGGCAGATCAACATACCTGGAATGAAGCCATCCACGTTTTTCAGATCAATATCATATGGTCCCATTCTTATTGGTTCCAAATTGCTACCCAAAAATGAATGCGTTACCGGGCTTTACCCCTGAAAATAGCCAATGTCTTCTGTGTCCGCTCATGGAGCCACAGATTACAACTCGGCCCGGCCCGACCTCAGAGGCTCGAAATTGCAACTGCTCACGATCCATGCTGGTCAGCGCTAAAGCCACCTGTGAAATCGGGTCAAGTAATTGGGGTACCAAGGAACCTACAGAATTGATCGTTTCTTGTTTTGAAACCTTAGGCATCTATGGAGGGTTGATAAGTTTAACCCATACGGCGGCTATACCTTCTCAATGCTTCGATGGTTGGTCGCTGCGGCAAGGTTGGCGGGATGTGGGAAGTTCCCATGAAGAACACTTTGTCGGCTAGGATCGAAACAGCCTTTTGAAAGCCGACATCCTTTTTCCGGAACGCCTGGTTGCCCTGGTAATGTCTTCATGATATCATTCCAGTCTAGAGATGAACATCTCTTCCGAAAGTAACTGAGAGCCTGGTCATGCTGGGTAAGCCGCAGGATCCTGGAGGAGTGGCGTGTCCAGAATCAATGACTTGGGAGTTGGGTTGAAAGACCCAGAGTAACCTGCGTCCGCTCCTGTCCACCAGACTCAGCAAAGCCGTTGTGGAGCCGGGAATCCTTAGCCGTGTTCACTAAGTTCACTATTAAAGGGTCAGGATCGAAGCAAAAAAAACTGTAAGCGAATAATATACATGTACAAAATATGGTGTGTATATGTATGTATATATATATATACACATAATATTGTATGTGTATATGTAATTATATCTATATCTATGTATACATAGAATATATAGATATACACCATATATCTACATACATAAAATATGCATTATATGCGCATATATGGTGTCCCTGAAGAACAACCCTTTTGCAGTGTTTAGCGGTCATTGCTTTGTTTTCAAGCAATTTTTACCGTCAAAAAATATACTTAGTGTTTCCTTTATTTTGGTTTCTAGTTTCTTTGTTTTCAAAGAAACATGGATTTAGTCTGCACTTGCAAGTGCGGATTCCTTCCATAATTGTATAATCAATATAACAATAATGATAGTAATAATAATCATGATATATAATTTAATCATAATAAAACCAAGAATGGCTCTGACGGGTGGAAACAAAACCACACTGCTTTCCTCACCACTCAAAAGCCTCCTCACAACAACAAAAACATTTGCTCTGCATAACTATGTTTGGATTTTACAATTTTTAAAAAATGCAAACAAAAAAAATATAACCCTGGACCCTAGCTTTGCAGAACTAGATAGATAGATAGATAGGTAGGTAGGTAGGTAGGTAGTCAGAGAAAGAAAGAGAAAGAAAGAGAAAGAGAGGAGACCTCAACCACCTTTCGGTCCATCAGCGGCTTCACGCTGCCATCCCTGATTCACAACAACCAACCTCTCCTATAGGTTTCCTATTTTTGAAACTTCCGCCACCGCCTTGTGCGGTACTACTGGTGTATATATATATATCCACTGTATCCACCAATTGTAGGTCATGTTCATGGTGCAAACCATGGATTCGCCATGGATTCACCATGTGAGGGCTCCCTTAGCACAGGTTCAGGCAATTGTCCATGGACTTCTGAGGACCTCGCCCGTGAGCTTCAGAACCATCGCCGTCCATGGAAGATCAGCTGCACAGCAGTAACTGTTGGGGTTGCACCGTGTCTTCCTCCAGGTCCTGCTGTCTCGAGGTCTCAATTCTGTTGTCCTTTGCACACAGTCTTAAAGGTCGAGGATGCATGTTGCATCTGCCACATATCATCTCTGTTGGGCCACCTATTTCGTCCAATGACAAACTTCCAGGAAAGATATTACCTTCGATACTTGCAACTAGACACACAGCTTCTACAAGGCTTGTGGAACAATGACTCCGAGATTGTCATTCATGTTGGGACCATCTCTGACAAAGCTGCAGGGGTTGCTCAAGTTGTAAATCAGTCACAGTTGTGGCAGGGGAAGCCTGCAACAGTCTCAGCCAAGAGCTGCAGAAGGCCAACGTGGCTGGATCTGCTGGCCATAGATCAATATATGTAAATCTATATATATATGTATATATATATATATGTGAACCGGAGGTTATCTCCCCGATTATGTACTGTAGCTTGAATTTGGAGTGGGTGTTCTCAGTGATGACGTCACACGGGTGGCGGCTTCAGCATGGCAATTCTTTGTTCCGGTTCCTGCAGTGGTCTTGAGCCAAAGGGGCGAGTTGATGTACCCCTTGGCTGTGGATCCTTGAGGGATGAATTATGTGGTAGTGTACAATGGTCCGTAGCCTACACTCTATTCGCACCCCCCACGCATGGCCAACTTTGTCGGCCACGCGCAAAGGAGTGTCCCTTGAATTGATCCACTACATCTGCAGCTGTTCATTTATTGAGTTATGGAGAGCTAAAGTCCGTTCAGAACTTCATATCTACATGGCGGCTTGCTACGATCTCTACCAAAAGATAAAGGTTCTGTTCACGTGCATGCTGACACGACGTAGTCGGTGTCCGGCATTGAGGTTCATCCGATGTGGCGTAGCCAGCATGGAATCTCACTCAAGCATGTGAATTAAAAAAATCGAAGCACAAAGATGACTATGGAACTAGAAGTTTACCTTCCCGTTCCTTCGTCGGTTGAGATGTAGACCGCTGTAGAAACTCAGCGTCTCGCGCAATGATGTTCAAAAAAAATGTGGTTCTAAATTAGCCGGCTCAGAGTCCTCTCAGAAATCATTCGAAATGAAATTGAGGTAAATCTCGAGCAATGATTGCATCCTCGTTTCGCCACGTTCATTCAGGACCTATGCAGAGGTCATATCGATTTATCATCTATATCCCCATCCATAGTATCCCTGTTGATTCCAGTCGCCACCACGGTGTGAATAAGATCTTCCACCTTTTCCTTGGTCTTTTCCACCTTTCTGTGGCGGGGTTACTGGAGCTTGTTTTGGCGGAGGAGCGGCTTCGACGGTTCTCCATGTTGCTGACGATGATGCTTTCGCTTTTGACACTCTGCCTAATGCTGGCGCTGCCTTCGGGGCTGCTTTCGATTTGCCAGCGACCGGGTTAGCACGTTCACGATCGGCAGGAGTTGGGGTATCAGCAATTGCAAGTATGTGAGCTTCTGACATGTGGATGCCCCATCTTGGTCGTTGATCATCTCGTTGCTTGATGTGGTTGTAGTCATCGATTGCATCATACAGCTTTTGGAGTAGAGGTCGTGGCAATTGTCGGCCATTTTGAAGGATCAGGTGTAGAAGTGATATTCTTCGAAGTGCGGGACGAAGAGCACACACAATGTCAACTGGGTTCAGTGTGATTGTGTCTTGAAAGTCGACGTTCCTGAAGAAATAAACGGCATTCACTCTGTATGCACCTGCGATAATTCTTCTGACCATGACGTCTTGTCGGTCAAGGGCTTCGCGGGCCGCTGTGGTCTTTCTCATCTCATCCATTGTTGTGTCACGTTTCGACAGCTTCTCCATCTCCTCGTCATAGAAGATATTTTGCAAGTCATCATACGTGTAGCCACATTCAAGGGTATATATGAGAAGTCGTTTGAGTACCACTGCCCCATAGTATGCATTGACGAATCCCTCTTCTCCGATGTCGTCCTTTTGTTTTGGTCGGCCGATCTCTTTGTAGAGCTCTTTCATCTGTTGTGCAGTTGGTTCAATGAGTTCACCATTTTCATCCTCGCCTAGATAAGGCACTCTTGAGTCCAGGTCCATCCTGAATTTCTGGTTCTGTTGAAAGTGTTTCCATGCCGTCTCGATGTCTCCACAGAAGTTCCGTTGGAATAGTCTGTAGATCCTGACGATATGTAATCCAATCTGCAACAGGAGGATTTTGATGAGCTCCGGCTGAGCATCTCCAATTGTGCAAGGCTTGATTGGTAGGACCTTTGATCCAAACTCAATCCTCTTCATCCACTTGGGGTACTCAATCACTGCATCACGAGCTTCTCCAGCCTCATATTCCTCAATGTTGATTTCATCGACCGCTATTTCTTCATCGTCATTCTCGTCGGTCGGTTTTCCTTCTTGATTGAGAAACTTGTCGACCTCATCTTGTTCTCTGAAGTCTCTTCTCTCATCATTGATGTCGCCCTTCTTCGAGGCTTGGTCATCATCTTCTTCTTCTGGTTGAGGTTCTTGTTCTGGACTCTTCATGGTGACATCATCATCATCTTGCATCATCTCGTCATCGTCACCTTCACCTGTCAAATCGATCTTCACCTCCTCCCATGCTTTCTTGACATGGTCTTTGAGATCTTCTTCTCGATGATGCGATTCGGCACTTGGTACTGTAGCCACGGTGATCTTGATTCGCTTCCTCCATCCATGACTCACCAAAAATCCTTTGCACATCACACAAATCGATAGTGGTGCCGGGGTCTCCATCAGACATGCGGGGCATAGTCGATGGTCCTCCTTGCTGGGATGATGAGTGACTGCCAATAATGATATTGCATCATTCCAATCCGGATGTCCAGGGAACAATCTGTGATTATGACTGAAGTGACCGGTCTTGATATCGACAAGCTTTCGAAGTTCGTTCAGATCGGGTGATGATTCATCAGGCACAATGTTCCCAATGAGTTTGTCAAATCGTTCAATGGTGGCCACCCTCCTCGCTCCTTGCACAGAAAGTACAAGTTGATCTCTTCCCTTTGTGATCATGAGACGGTAGTAGTCCTTTTCCCTCCAATCGTAATACCAAACTGCATCGAATGATTCGAATGGAATTGTTTCTTGGACCAAAATATGTCCGTCTGCTGATAATCGAGGGGAGAACTTGGCGATGGAATCGTACGTGATGTAGATGTAGACAAGATCAGTTTGATCAATCTTCCTGAATCTCAGCACCGTCTGACTTCGCACGTCCCACGGTGCGAATGGCACGAAGAACGTATTGATGCGGTCGCCTCCTCCTCCGGGACGTAGTCCTTCTCTGAAGATTTGAGCGATATTGTCAAAAGTGGTGCAGTGAAATCCTCCTCCAAGAGTGTATCCGACTCCAGGGTTCATCTGATAGGAAGTCTTCTTGTCTTCGATGTGCACACCGCCTTGAACTCTTGAATGTGCCATAGGGGAACGGATTGCCACCGGCCAAAGCCAAATCTCTCGATCTGCCGTGCCGATCTCCAACCTCAGTGTGTGTCGTTCAAGTCTCGAGGTCAATCCATCATTGAAGTTGTCCATGACGTATTCCAACTCACCTTTTGTGACCTTGAGTCCTAGCACTTGAGCTCGGATTCTTTTCGTTTGCTTGTACTCAGTGAAGATCACTCTCTGGAAATTGTTCCACCTCTCAACAAGTATCGGGTAGTTGACATGGGTTGTTCCAGCCAATGTATGTTGGTCTCTCCAAATGGCGTCATACTTCAAGATCGACTCAACATTGACCCAACCTACTTCATCGCATGGTAGTCCACGGTGATTCCGATTGTCCTTGACGCAACCCACGGAGTGGCGTAGCGCTGCATTGAATCTTTTCGACAATTCGACTATCCATTGCGGATTTTCCCACTTGTTGCCCATCCACTCGTTCTCGCCATATCGATGCACCTTACTCCATCCTAATCCAAGATATTCTTCTCCATTGATGCGAGCAAGTTGAAGTGTTCCAATGTTGTGGCCATGTGTGAATGGTTGGATGTACTTGAAGTTCCAGTTGTCTCCATACTGTTTTCTTTCTTCAGTAAGCCATTTCACATATTCATCATGATCAATGGGGTTCCAAGCGTTCAGCTCCTCAATGGTCGGCAAAACAGGCGGGGATTCCTCAGCCGCACGCTCAATCAGCATATCAAGCTCATGACGATTCTTCACACCTCGGCTAATTGGGTTGACTTCGACACCATTCACTAAGTATTGTCCTCCTTCTTCACGATCACCAATGTCGTACATAAAGGCTGACTGACTGTAGAAGCACTTGGTCACTTCTTCTTTCTCAGTGAATCTGGTTCTTCCCCAACGTTTTCCTCGCGGCATGACGTTCTTTGGGAGCTTGTCCTTTCTGCCTCTGGTCGCAGCTTTGGATCTTTCGGATGATGATGGGGATTTGGACTTCTGATCCATGATCAACCTCATGCGCCATAGGGTGTCCTTCATGTTCTCGTCATCTGGTGTGGTACATTCATCAATGTCATGCATTCCACCACAAATGAAACAATACTGAACACTCGATGCGTCTGCAATCAGCTTCTCAAATCGATCACGGATGTTCCGCACCTCAGTTCGGCGCTTCTTCGCCTCCGAAGGTTGGCCCCCCATGTCATCTTCCTCCTCCTCAATCTCGATGTCACCAGCTCCGGCATCGGTTTCTCCTGAAGTCTGTTCTGCTCGAGGGCCCCGCGCCGTAGGCGTCGTGGTCTCGTCTTCAGGTTCGCCAACTTCATCCTCCTCCTCATCGCTTGATGAGACTTCAATCATTTCAGGGTGGTCATCGTAGTTGGCTTCCGGGAGCACCGGCATTCTGGTGATCTTCTTCTGCATGAGTAGGTCGAAGATTCCCGCTTCTTTCAATATTGTTGTCACCATGTTGTTCTCGACCGGCGGGATGTATGCTTTCCTGGACCGGTTCCGCTTTGTGTTGATGGTGTCGGTAGGTCGACATGAACTGCTGAATAGCCAGAACGACTCTTCCAGTCCTGC